GGCAGAAGGTCCTGGTTGTTCACCAGCTATAAGCTCCGGCAGAAGGTCCTGGTTGTTCACCGGCTATAAGCTCCGGCAGAAGGTCCTGGTTGTTCACAGGCTATAAGCTCCAGCAGAAGGTCCTGGTTGTTCACCGGCTATAAGCTCCGGCAAAAGATCCTGGTTGTTCACAGGCTATAAGCTCCGGCAGAAGATCCTGGTTGTTCACAGGCTATAAGCTCCGGCAGAAGGTCCTGGTTGTTCACCGGCTATAAGCTCCGGCAGAAGGTCCTGGTTGTTCACAGGCTATAAGCTCTGGCAGAAGGTCCTGGTTGTTCACCGGCTATAAGCTCCGGCAGAAGATCCTGGTTGTTCACAGGCTATAAGCTCCGGCAGAAGGTCCTGGTTGTTCACCGGCTATAAGCTCCGGCAGAAGATCCTGGTTGTTCACAGGCTATAAGCTCCGGCAGAAGATCCTGGTTGTTCACAGGCTATAAGCTCCGGCAGAAGGTCCTGGTTGTTCACAGGCTATAAGCTCCGGCAGAAGATCCTGGTTGTTCACAGGCTATAAGCTCCGGCAGAAGGTCCTGGTTGTTCACCGGCTATAAGCTCCGGCAGAAGGTCCTGGTTGTTCATCCCTTTGCGCTTTGATTTTTTGCACCAGGATCTTGGTTTTGCATATACATAGATTTTACTGGCTTAGTGTGCAGTTGGTTGTCCCTGGCCGCTCGGACACATGCACTCCGACTTCGAAGGTAGTCCCCAATTGGTCAACTGCTACGACATGCTTGTTGTAAAGGCAGTGGATCTAGTGTTTTCCCTACAATGGGGCCCCCGGAACCCACATGGGGAAAGCAAGTATTGCATCCTGTGGACTACGTTCTGTATCACATCTGGAATCTAGTCTAGTATCTCTAGCATTCTCAACATTCACCACAAGGTTCCTCCTGGATGTACTTCCTGAAATCTTTGAGTCCCAAATGGTTTCGCATCCCAGGCCCATAGGGTAGTAAAGAGAGACTAAAATCGACGCATTTTGCGTTTATTGGGCTTCTAGGTAGGAACCTATGAACGTATGATGCGCTCCTTGGGACTCACAGAGTTAATTCAACTGATTTCCTTTCATTGTCTTTTTTTTATTTCTTTGCCTGCTCCATTTCAGAGTGTGTTTAATATTTCCAACTTCAAAAGATAACATAATAATTAACAAATAAGATTAGGTCTGCTGTATATCAGCTTTTTATTGCATGTTAAGTCAACCTGTAAATAATATTTTGATTTTATAAGCCTGCGTAACTACTTCAGACACTGAGAAAATACGCAAAATATTTATGTTAGCCTCTGGTATACAACATGTAAGCAACAACAACAACAAAATGAGCATCAAAGAGCAAACGTAAACTGAACATTAATAATGGAATGGATCAACAATGTTAATGTTAACATAAACATTAAATACTTTAGCCCTATAAAGATGCGAAAGTTTTTCTGATTCTTGCGCAATATTGTCTTTCTTTGAGTCGCGCTGTAATGTTAAATCTTTTTTTTTTAATTCAAAACTAATTTGATAATAAAGGGAATATTTGAAAAAAGTAAAACCATAATGCAAAAAAAAAAAAAAAAAACAATGTAGCTAGTGAATAACGTGGGAATTCCCACTGCCCCTGCAAAAAAAGAAACCCCCCAAAAAAAAACCTTTAAACATTTTTTCAATACAGCTGACTAATAAACTGTAAATACATTTACTTGTCTCACTGTTCAAAATCTCCCTGAAATATATAAAGATGTTCAAAGAAAGTAATCAATAAACATGACAGGAGTGTTTACATTCTGCAGAGTGTAACCATTTGGTTCACAAGAAAACACCCTATATGCAATTTTTAGTGAACATATTCATGTCTTCATCTTCAAATCACTGCGAAGATGCAAACAGAAAAAATCACTCTCTCTTTGAGTCCAAAGGAAAGCATTATACATTCATAGGTTACTGCCTAGAAGCCCAATGAATGCATGATGCGCCGATTTTAGTCTCTTTTGACTACCCCTTGGGCTTGTAATGCTAAACCCTCTGGGACTTGAACAGTTTAAAAACTACACTTCACTGAAACACGTCCTTACAGACATGCTGGATCTGTGGTCGTTACAGGAGTGTGGTAACAAAGCTGGGTTCAGGACTTCTTGGGGTGAAAGGTTGCAGTTTTATGTCACCAGAAGAATTTTTATTCACATTAACTCATCATTTACCAAACAATTCACCATGTTGTTATCAGTCATTATGACTTAAATTACAGTTCAGTTTTTCTTGACTTCTTGAAAAACCTGCAGTAGTTTTTGGTTTAGTTTATTTACTGACCTACACTTCTATGTGGAGCCAGTGTAAAAGGGACATCACAAATTTGGATTGGATTGGATTTTTTACCCCACCAGGACATCACACAAGCGATAAACACCCGATGACACAAAGTGCCACCATGCGGATGAGGATCACCGTGGAGAGGTCCCAGAAACCGCGTTCAGACATTTGGCCATAATGATGACATGCCTATATTGCGGCCCCCGGCAAAAGCCAGAGTGGGGCTTCAAATAACAAAAAATAACGTCCTAAGAAGGACGAAAAGCAGTAATAGCGATCACAAATTTGTACTTGAAGAACAAGGGAACTACTGACTGAAGAGAAACTACTTGTGGACAAAAAAAATGACTTACAAACTGTAGGATAAATAGATCATAGTTACATATCTTACAGCAGTAACAAAGTAAAAAGTAAAGTAAGTAAAGGACCCTTTTCCACGCCTTTAGGGCATATAGGGCTAGACCTATATTTTTACAGACCAATCGGCACAAGATGGGTGATGTGGTCAGCATCATGCTGGCTGCCTTTACTTCCTGGGACTGCATCTGGTACCCACTCAAAGCTGGGTCGACCTGGGAGCCAAGGTCATTTTTGAAAAGCAGTAACAAAACAAGTATATAAATATAACAGACCAAGTATCTGGGAGGTGGGGTGGGGGGAGTAAAACAGCTCTTATGAGATAACTGTGGCTTTAAAATATAACCCAACAATAAACACAATTTCAGCAATAAAAAAAAAATTTAAAAAAAAAAGAAGCAATATTTATGTATATCAACTGTTAATCTAATTCCAGATCATGTAGGAGGTCCCTTGCAAACTGGGACTCCAGTTCCAGTCCATTATTAGGATTCCCAGTCTAGAAGACCCTTACAGGACAGCAGTTTAAACAAGGTTGGTGGGAGTGGAGCTTTTTATGGAAGTTGAACAAAGTGTGGGTTCCAGCACCCCATTGTGCTGGAAACAACAACAGACCCACTATTTCCCCTAATAAGCATGTCCTAAGAGGCAAATAATTGGAACTAAGTCCTTCAAAGTCAGAGTGAATCATTTGAAAAGGTGAGGAACTAACAGTCTGCATACAAATAAAACAGATCTATAAACTTAACATGCACAGAAAACTTAGGTTCTAAAACAAAACCAAAGTCCAGAAGTGGATGAACAACCAGGACTTTTCAATGAGGTATACAGCTGGAAGAATGTATGAAGTATCTGGGATATGCCCGGTTGGCCTATCCCTATCATGCAGATTTATATTTTGTAATTGCAGTGTGGTCAAACCAACAGTGAGCGGGCTGAATGAGAATACACATAAGGAAGCGAAGAAGGAACATAGCCTCCAGTCTTCAAAATTTTCAATCCTAAAATGTGTCCAAATTCCTCTACCCAATGAGCGCACGACCCTTTCTGTATCTGCCTTCAGAGCCCATGCTTTTCAGAACTGTTCTTTCTAACCACAGAAGTCCTAAATATAGTCAAAGCATTGAAGTTTAAGCAAATTTTCTGATGTAATCAAATGTTGTAGACTGTCATCATTTCCTCTCTTCTTTTTTCTCAGCTTGAGAATCAGCTGTGCACACATAAGTGTAACTGACTCACAGAGCAGGCTGAGAAAGGTGAAGACGAGTATGCTCTAGGCAGAGTGGCAAGCACTGCTTCAGAGGTCCAGTGTAGTGCACTTTGGCTATTTTCTCCAGGTCATGCAAGTGTGTTGGGAAATGAACAGGCAGAATGACTGGCTAGTTCTACACCACTTGGTGGTGAATTGCTGCATGACAAACTAGATGGTGTAAGGGTAATTTGGGAGTGAGTGAACAGTGCAAAGGCACAAGCAGATCATTACGATCTGAGGAGAATGGTGCTGCAAAGAGTGACAAGGGGATTTGGTCAAAGCTTAGTTCTCAAGGGAAAGGTGAGAAGGACATACAATCAGAATGTTACTGGTACCACTGGAGTTGGAACTATGCGCTTGCTGCTGAAAATGGGGACAGAGTGCTTATGGGAATGTCCCAAGTGCTTTGATGCTGATTCTTAATTCAACATTCTTTATTTTCTCAGACATCCCCTTTCTAGTACCAGCAACTATTTCTTAGCCTGCCTGCTGACTGTTTATGCTTCATAAGCAAACAGAAGTAGAGGTTATGGACATTAAATTGTGACAAATAAACATCCAAAGACTAACACACTCTGCAGCAAAAGCTGCTCCAGGTCTAGGCATCTGATGGTGTGTAATGGCTTCATTCACTGGAATTCCAACAATCGTGACATCTGTTCTCTTATGTTTTATACTTATACGCAAAATCCAAGAAATCAGGCTTTTTCCTCCTGGTCAGTTTCCCTTTGTATTCTGGTACTTTCAAGGGAATGCACTCCTGATTCCTTCAATAGTGGTTATTTCCCTTTTTGTGCATCTGTAATGAAAACTCTGGACTGACAAATTCAATGGATAAATAAACAAAAAATTATGCATTAGCAGAATTAGTCTATCCATGATGAGCAAATACATGCACAGTAATAAACAAAATAGTACTGTTTTTTGAGCTTGTCCAAAAATAAAATTACTTCCCTAATTATGTGCTTTTTTTTAGATTAGAGTAATCTCCCTGTTCTCCTCCAGCATTCAAGAGAGTCTTTTGTGGTCAGATTCTAATAGTGAGCTTCCAAATAAATCTTACAGCTCTGTGTGTTGAGGTTCTTGTTTCACTAGGTGCACGTTCGTCTGTCCATCTTGTTCCAGATTTTGGTGATAGATCTTGGATTTCTGCAGCACTCGGAAGTTCCCCTGTGTTTCAGGATCCAGCACCCCATCTTGATCAGGATCAATTACTGGTTCCTCTTCAGACTTAGAGCTCAACTTTTGTTGCTTACCTGCAAAATAAATATTGCCTGATTTAGAATAAGTCTGAGGTACATTTTTCCCGTGTGGGTTCCAAGGCCCTAATAGGGAAAACAAGAATACACCCACTGCCTACACAAAAGAATGTCGTAAGAGTCGACTAATTAGGAGCTTCCTTCCAAGTTGGAATGCATCTGCCTGAGAGGCAAGGAACCAACAGTCTGCATAGAAATGAGTCAGATCTGTAAAACGGATGCACATGCAACACTCAGGTTCTGGAAGAGGACTGCAGCCCAGAAATGGATGAACAACCAGAATTTTCCACAATAATTTACAGCTGGTGAACGCAAAGAAGAAGAAGACGTACATTTGATGGAGTTGAAGTAAACAAGTTTCTGAACCACTGTAAAACAACAACAAAGTTGGGAAACAAGCCAGAAAACACATCATCATCATCATGAGTCATGTATACATCATTTGGAGAGCTCATAGTCTATTCAACCATTTCCTTATATCCTGTGCAGGCTGTCTGATATGGACATAATCCAGTCCAGCATTTCTGGCCTCTCTCATTACCGATCATCTCTGGGTTCTTCACGATAATGAGTAGTTAATGATAATCAAAAGCTTCGGTAAAACTACTCCAGATTTATCTAATCAAGCACTTGATAATCCAGTCTTCCTGAGTAAATCTCTACTCCTGCTTCTTCTTCTTCTTCTGCTTCCTTTTCTTTTTCTTCACATTCACAATCAGTAAACTCCAGCAGAAAGTTCTGGTTGTTCATCTACCTCTGAACTTAAGTCTTTTTTTTTCTTTTCTTCCCACTCATGTTGTCTTGTGTACAGATATATGAGAGTCTCACCATGGAAGAGACTGGGGACACTAAGAATATTGCCCAAGACACCAACAGTTACACTGTAGAGTAAAGGATCCTGTTTCATGGCTTGAGGCACATTTGGGCATTTAGTTCTAGAACCATACTGTGTAGACCAGTTGGGTGATGTAGCCAGCCTTTACTTCCCAGGACTTTACCTGGTAACCACTAAAGGTTGGGTCAACCTGGGAGTAAAAGTCATTTTTAGAAAAAGACAGGTTCCATTCGGATTCAACCACGATCTTCTTGTATGACATAGCCAACCTTTGTGTGGAAACAGCCACAAACTAACATTTTTTCTAATAACTATAATATCTTTGTGTCCATATAGCATAAGAGACAGACACAGACACAGACATAGACACAGACACAGAAACAGACACAGAAACAGACACAGAAACAGACATAGACACAGAAACAGACACAGAAACAGACTCAGAAACAGACACAGAAACAGACACAGAAACAGACACAGAAACAGACACAGAAACAGACACAGAAACAGACACAGAAACAGACACAGAAACACACAGACCCAGAAACAGACACAGAAACAGACACAGAAACAGACACAGAAACAGACACAGAAACAGACACAGAAACAGACACAGAAACAGACACAGAAACAGACACAGAAACAGACACAGAAACAGACACAGAAACAGACACAGAAACAGACACAGAAACAGACACAGAAACAGACACAGAAACAGAAACAGACACAGAAACAGACACAGAAACAGAAAAAGACACAGAAACAGACATAGACACAGACCCAGAAACAGACACAGAAACAGACACAGACACAGAAACAGACACAGAAACAGACACAGACCCAGAAACAGACACAGAAACAGACACAGAAACAGACACAGAAACAGACACAGAAACAGACACATAAACAGACACAGAAACAGACACAGAAACAGACACAGAAACAGACACATAAACAGACACAGACACAGACACAGAAACAGACACAGACCCAGAAACAGACACAGAAACAGACACAGAAACAGACACAGAAACAGAAACAGACACAGAAACAGACACAGAAACAGACACAGAAACAGACACAGAAACAGACCCAGAAACAGACACAGAAACAGACACAGAAACAGACACAGAAACAGACATACATGCAGAAGAGAATGAGAAGCTTAGATGATGCCCTGAAGGGAGCTGGAGCTGCCATGGTGTAGAGGCTAGACGCTCGCCTGCGGATCAGAAGGTCGTGGGTTCGGGTGCTGACAGAGCCTGACTTTTTCAAAAATGACCTTGGCTCCCAGGTCAACCCAGCCTTGAGTGGGTACCAGGTACAGTCCTGGGAATTCAAGTGACCATTTTACCCACTAAGTGCCAACTGGTCTATAAAATATAGGTCTTGCCCTATATGCCCAATACAACTGCAGGTGTGGAAAAGGGTCCCTTATCTGAAGGCAGCTGCAGCAGATGACCAAAGGTAAGGCAGTCTGGAATGCACCAGTTGAGAGTTTATGCTCAAAATAGGGATACAGTGAAGAAAAAGAAACAGAATTTGGGGGGAAAGGGGGGGGGGGGTTGTCTTGTTTACCTTTCTCAGTCTTATCCATCTTGGCCAGGAAGTCGTAGTGGGGGCCTGGAGGACCCCACCTGGCATACTGCAGCATTTCTGCGAAATAAGCAAACATTGGTTTCAGAATTATTTTTTTTTAACTTCCGTGTTTCATGACAGAAAATCAAACATGGTAGACAATGATAAAATCAATATCACTGTTGCTTCTACCATCCCTATTAACACTCCATACCTTTTTAAAAAAAATATCCTCAAATACATAGAAATATACCACCCCCCCCCCCCCCCCCCCCCCCCCCCCCCAAAAAGCAAAACAACGGTTCAGAACTATTTTTTTTAACTTCCGTAGTGTCATCCAAAAAAAAAATAACCTCATAAGTGAGAAAACATTAAAAAACAAAATATATTATATACATCATCATCATGAAGTTCGCTCTCATCACAGTCTGCCTGCAAGAAACGCCGTATCGCGCCAGTTTTTTCACCTCGTGGACTTTCATACTCAAGGAATAAATTATATCCTGTGCCCATCTTCGTGTTGGTCAACCCCTGCCCATCCTTCCTGGTACCATGCATTCTGGCTTTTATTGTTTTCTCCCAATCGGCTGTGGCGTTTGATATGACTAAAATATTATATATATATATATATCGCAAACAGACCCCAACGATGATAACTAGGTTTCTCAAGGACACCCTTAGCAGAAATCCAGGAAAGCAGCATTTATGGGATTCAGATGCCGAAAGAAAATACAGGGTTCATAGCTTCTCAGGGCGACGGGGTTGATAAAGACAAAAAAGTTCAGTATCATAGTTACAAAACATGAAAAGTAACACTGAAAGAAAAACAGAAACTGTGACCATAACAAGAACAGAACAATCAGTCGAGATATGCACAAAAAACCAGCAACTCCAAACAAGCAAGAGACTTCAAGTATCTAGGGAGCACAATTTAATCCAACGGGAAATAAAAATTAAGCGGAGGTAGACCACAGATGCATCACAACAATCAAATTATTAAACAGATGTCACAATTTTTGCAGAAAATTAACAACTACATCAACATCTCAGAAAATCAGCTACAAGAGCAAGAGGACAGCTGTGGAAAATATGGATCGGCAACATTAAAAACACTCTACGCCTTCACGGCATGACAATAGCCAGTAGCAGTCAACGTGCACTGGATCGCAAATTATTCCTCCCCACGTCCCTTAACGGCAGAAGTAGTTGATGATGATGATGATGATTAATAACTGACACCAAAAGTGCACTGTTCAATCCATAACATTTACCAACATTGTGTTACCAGTGCCAAACATGAACATTAATGATGAAAGAGAAAAAGACCAATTAAAACAGCAGAAATGAAATGTCTACTGCGAATCCTGAATGTAACTACAAGAGACAGGATCAGAAATGACGATATCATGAAAGAAGTTTTGATGGAACCCGTAGTAAACTACACTAAGAGACAACAGATCAAATGGTTTGGACATTAGTGAAAACTACCAGCAAATAGTACACATCAAGCCCTGTCACTTAGGCATAATGGAAGCAGATCTAGAGGTCAATGATGCAAACAATAGATACATGGAATAATATCAGAGGCCATAAATGAAAGCATCTATGTAGCACACACCAAGGCTCGCACACGATGCCTCTTCAAAAGCTTACGCTGAAAGGCACAACAGGACTAGAGAAGAAGAAGAAGAAGATGAAGAAGAAGAACAAACAGATACAAATAGAGTATAACTCACTTGATGGCCTCATTTTGTTTGCCAGCACTCCAGCGAGCCACTCAACTGTGTCCTCCAGCTTCTTACGCTGAAAGGCACAACAGGACTAGAGAAGAAGAAGAAGAAGAAGAAGAAGAAGAAGAAGAAGATGAAGAAGAAGAACAACAACAAACAGATACAAATAGAGTATAACTCACTTGATGGCCTCATTTTGTTTGCCAGCACTCCAGCTAGCCACTCAACTGTGTCCTCCAGCTTCAGCAGCTGCGGCTGATAGTTGAACACTTCTCCTTTCCCATGATCAACCACAGTTATCATGGGCAATGTGGCCGACCAGGTGTACTCCGACAAGATCTTCTCCCCCAATGTATTAGTCTGGCTGGAGAAAAAAAATAATAATGAAAAATAAATAAATGGGAATCTCTTTTGTGTCCTGGTCAGAACATTCGCCTGTTTGCCTGTTGATCGAGGGTTGAACAACCTCTGAGTCTGATTTGTTTCTTCAAATCTGACCTTGGCTCCCAGGTCAACATAGACTACACTGTGTACCAGGTGATATCCTGGGAAGTAAAGGCAGTCAGCATGCTTATGTACAAAGTCCCGACTGGTCTAGTTTCATATTTCCGATATGCTACAGGTGTAAAAATATTTTACTTTTACTTGAACAAATAAATAAGTAGCCACGGAAACAAAAGCTAAGATCAGAAGAGAAGGAAAGACAATTCTGGCATAGTCTGACTCAAACTGGACAGTCACTGCTTGTAGTGGCTACATACTTGGCTGCTGGTCCAAATATCTTCTACAGATAAAGACTTCAGTCAGTGGACTCACATTTGGAGATGAGTTCAATGAACTTCAAAAATGAACAGCTGCTCTTAGCATGATTCAGGAAAACTACCAAGATTGAAAGCCAAGCATATATGTCCTCCTCAGTTAAGCACAAAGTCTGGGCAGTATTGTAGAGACGGTTGCCCAGGCGGCAGGAACCCTCTTTCAGCCTGCTTTGTTTATGAAAAAATTTTCTAGTATGTTTATTTTATTATTTATCTTTGAAGTATGCCTAGGAGAACTCACAAATGTAATTTTTAAAAATGTGTGTAAAATGGCATTTTAGAAGATGAAAATTATGTAATAAATCACTCTCATTAAACATCAGAAAACAGAACTGAAACGTTACATTGAGCCTGTTCTGTTGTATGGCAGCAAATGTTAGAACATGAGCAAACAAATGAAGAAGAATTTAGAGGTCACTGAGTTGTGGTTCTTGAGAAGAAGTTGTGTATACCTTGGACTGCCAGAATAATCAACAGTGAATGCCTGGAAATGGTTAATGAAAGTAGAACATTATATACAACAATGAGAAAGAGACAAACATAGTTCTTTGGTCATGTGATGAAAACAGGAGAACTGGAATGGTGACGACTGGAAAGATCACTGGTAGAAGAGGCAGAGGCAGACCAAGAGAATTTATGGTGGATGGCTTAAGACAGCGGCATGGAGAAATATTATTAGTCGAACTGATCATCAAAGAACTAGATCTGTGGAGATATATGAACGCCTATACCGGCTGGTAAGGCACTTGATGATGATGATGTAAAGTGGCATCACTACACTTTCTACTTACGCGTCCACCCAGCAGAAAGTAACATTATCAAACTGACCAATCATAGCCAGCTGTGTAAACGTTTCCTTGGCTACCTTTGAATCTGGGTCAGATGGGTCCAAGAACAAAATAACAAATGGCTGCTTCCTGGCAAACAGGGTTGGCAAGTTCATGGCTGTTAGTTTTGGCTGAGGATGTTTAAAACATGTTTCATAATTTTGTTTATTTCAGTTACAGTCAGTTTAAGATGCAACAAACATGCTACAAAACTAGAAATACTGGTTAAGTTAGTTAGTTAGTATCCTTTACAGGACATTGTAGAACCAACCTAGCTTTTTTTTTTTTTTTTTGCTGTTGTAATTTTTCTAAATAAATTTACATCCAGTAGTTTGCCATTGCTTTCTTGACGATCGGAAATAGTCCTGTGATTCAGGTCATATGAAAGATTGTGTCATCACCATCACCTCCATCGTCATGCTGCTGGTAGTCATGGAGAAGGCACCGCTGGTTTCTTGAACTGCTCTGCCTGAAGAGCGAGCTGTAAATGCCCATGCACTCTTTATGTCCTCGTATACCGGACCCGTCTGTGAATATCAGTACATCTGTCGCATCTGACTTGTCACTGATAAGAGAGCATACCTCTGAGTTGACAGCAGCTGGATTTTGCTCCCAACAACTCCTATCAAGCGTCACAACACAGGAGAACGTGAAATTGGGCGCTTTAGACGCTGGTATCCATTTCTCACCTGGAAGGATATCTGTAAGGCTGCAGACCTGCATGATGTCATACTTTGCCCTACCCAGCCATGATTTGCCCCTTTTAAGTCTATTGCCCTTTTTCCTGAATAACATGTGGTGCAAAGGGTGCTTCAGATCTGAGCTCATCTTGAGCTATCATGCATATGTATGTATGTATATATATATATATATACACATTTATAATCACCCCACTTCTATACTAGAAATTAGAGAGTACATTTTACATTTATTGCTACAACTTTCTACACTGAAGCTATGACATAAATACACCATCTTAAATTTGTGGCCACACATTTCTAATACTGAGAAACAGAGATAACTAAGAAATCTTACATGTATGGTCATCATTCAATATACTGTTTTACTTTTTTTTTTACCGTAGAGATTACATAAAGATCACATCTTAAGTAGACATTACATCTAAATTTATAGTCATTTCTTTCTACAGTGCAGAATTTACATAGAGAAGAAATGTTAACTAATACTTACTACTTTCTAAAGTTTAGAGTTTACACAGAGAGAAATTTTAATTTGGTCACCACTTTCTATAGTGTAAAGCAGAGATTATATACAGAACTAATCTTAATTTATAGACATCACTTTCTATAGTGTAGAGTTTACATAGAGAACAAATCCTAATTTATAGACATCACTTTCTATACTATAAAGTAGAGTTTACATAGAGAACAAATCATAATTTATAGTCACCACTTTCTAAACTATAAAATAGAGTTTGCATAGAGAACAAATCCTAATTTATAGTCACCACTTTCTATAGTGTAGAGTTTACATACAGAACAAATCTTAATTTATAGTCACCACTTTCTATAGTGTAGAGTTTACATACAGAACAAATCCTAATTTATAGTCACCACTTTCTATAGTGTAGAATTTACATAGAGAACAAATCCTAATTTATATTCACCACTTTCTATAGTGTAGAGTTTACATAGAGAAGAAATCCTAATTTATAGTCACCACTTTCTATACTGTAAAGTAGAGTTTACACAGAGAACAAATCTGAATTTTTAGTCACCACTTTCTATACTGTAAAGTAGAGTTTACATAGAGAACAAATCCTAATTATAGTCACCACTTTCTATACTGTAAAGTAGAGTTTACATAGAGAAAAAAATCCTAATTTATAGTCACCACTTTCTATAGTGCAGAGTTTACATAAAGAACACATTTTAATTTATAGTCACCACTTTGTATAGTGTAGTGTTTACATAAAGAACATATTTTAATTTATAATCACCACTTTGTATAGTGTAAAGGAGAGTTTATAAAGAGAATGCATCTCAAATTTGTGGTTACCTCCTACTGGAAACGAGAGATTACACACAAAGCACACAATACATTTACTGTCTTCACTCATCTACAGGGGAAAGCAGAGATTACGCAGAAAGCCTATCCCACATTTACTGTTGCCACTCTTCTATCACTTGAGTTCGAATCCACACCCGGATAGATCATGGTTCTCAGGTTGACCTGACCTAAAATAGGTACCAGGCAATGTGTAGGCAGGTTAAAATGTTTGTAGTAATGCTGACCCCAATTACTGCCAGTAGGTCTATACAAACATAAGTCTAGCGTTACATGTAAACTCCAATGGAAAGACCGGGTTGTTCATCCGTTTCTGGACTCTGGCTTTGACCTGAGATTTGCGTGTGCATCTGTTTTACAGATCTGACTAATTTGTGTGCAGATTGTTGGTTCCTTGACTCTCAGGCAGAGGTACCCTGAGTTTAAAGAAAGCCTCCAGTTAGTCGGCTCTTATGACTGTGCTTGCTGGGGAGGCAGTGGGTCTATTCTTGTTTTTCCCACAATGGGGCCTAAAAACTTACATGGGGGAACATGTTTATAGTTATAGAAACCATCCCAATATGCGACACAATTTCTCGTTATTTTAAAGCCCAACTCTGGCTGTTGTCAGGGGTCCTAATATAACTTGACAGTTGAACGGGCTTTTTGGGACTTCTTCTTCTTCATTTAACGATGACCACTTTCTGGGAATTACTGGGAATTAAGATCGGCATAGCAAAAAACGAGACGCACACCAGACACCTTGTTAATCAACATAGAACTGGTACTATTAGCCATCGAACGTTGGGGTTCATACTGAGGGGAGGATCTGAGCACCTATGGACATGTCCAGAGTGCAATGATGATAACCCAACTAACTAACTAACTAACTAACTAATTAACTAACTAACTAACTTTCAGCCAGGTCAAAGAACACTGCTGTTCTCCTTCCTGTTGGCTATATTTGTGGTGACGTTTCTGGTACTCATCTCATCTGGTTTTGAATTGTGCTTTCAGTGATTGTCGCTTGATGTATGTTGTGGTTTCTTGTTGTTTGGCTGTTTTCGTAACTGGCTGGCCTTGTGCTGCGCTCTGGATCTTTGAAATGGCTGCTTCGCCGTCAGGTCAATTTTGGGTTGTTCTGGAACTTGCGCCCAGGGTGATTCTTTTTTGTATAGAGGTACTTTATGTCACCATGTATTTATCACTCACTGTATGGTCCTGGTGGGGTTGAACTTCATTCATTCCTTCATCACATGTCTAATATACCACTGGCGTAAAAAGGACTCTGTGCTTCCTCACATTTTACAATTCTATACAGCTAAATAAAAGAACAATAAATTTTGTTCTATGCTTGCCGCCAGTCGAAATTAACTTTTACAATTCAAAGTAGAGCGGAGGATCTTTTTCCACGGCTTCAGGTGTATTGGGCATATAGGGCTAGACTTATATTTTATAGACCAATTGGCACTCTGTGGTTGATGTGGTCAACATCACGCCCCCTGCTTTTACTTCCTATGACTTTACCTAGTACCCAAGTAAGGCTGCATCGAGCTGGTAGCTAAGATCATTCTTGAGAAAAGTCCACCTCTGTTCGGAATCAAACCCACGACCTTCGGATCTGCAGTGAGCATCTAGCCGTTACACCACAGCAGCTCCATAACTTCAACATTTAAACCCCGGAAAATTAACCAATGAATTCAAAGTGAGTACACACCACGGTGTGAATGACGGAATTTTTCACGAAGTTTGTCAGTGATGTTTCTGACCACTCATTCAAGACTCTCATTGGCTTGTTCCGGTCACTGCGATGGAAAGCTACAACTGATGGCACCGCAGCTCCATAAACTTTAGCTCTAGAATACATTTTAAAACAAAAATGTAAACATTCTTAAATGATGTCATCCACATCCTTAATACATTTAGTAGTCAAAGGAGTTTGATTTAGAATATATATGTTGTGAATTTAGTCTTTAATTCCAAAATTATGTTATTCACATTTTAAAATAACTAATGATGGAAGAGAGTTCACTAATTTAGAATTAATAATTCATGCATTATGTCTCTAATTTAAAAACTATACCCTAATGTCTATGCTGTTTTTGTTAATTAATGATCCAGAAATATCAGGGACTTCTACCCTTCAGAAAATACAATGTAGTTCTTCTTCTTTTACGCTCAGTCTTAAAATAATAATTGACACTTTCTATTGTGGTTTGCAGTTAGGCTGCAGAATACAAGGTAGCTGGAAAAAAAAGTTCCAAGAATTTGAGTATTTTGAAGAAATAAGTAACAATGCAATTATTTACACAATTTTCTTTAAAAATATCTCCCTTCAGCAACTACACACTTTTGCCAATGTTCATACATCTGTTGGAAACAGTCCTGGAACCCATACTTCGACACCTCTTTCAGGTGTGTTGTCACGCTGGCGATAATGTTCTCAGCGTCCTTGAACTACTGCCCTTTCAAGGCCAGGAAACACACAAAAATCAGCCAGTGCCAGGTCGGGAGAATACTGTGGTTACTTCCGATTGATATTCCAACTTCTGAAGCCATTTTCTTGACAGGAAGTCTTTTGTTTAGTAAGAACAATGTACCAAACACACTCATGTCAACATTATCTTTCTGCATGGCCTAACATTTCTGCACAAATGGCAACCCTCAATTATCAGTTGAAAACTAGAAGAGTGGAGGCTTTTCATTGCTTCATCCAAGACGAGTCTTGAAGCTGTTTTGTTGAATAATGGTAATGTATTACCGTCAATTCCAGGTGGTGGGATGCAACTTTTCGTTATTTGAAGCCCCACCCTGGCTTTTGCCGGGGGCCCTGAATATAGCTGGGCCACAATTGTGGCCATAACGGCTGAAAGTGGTTTCTGGGACCTCTCCACAGGTGATCCTCATTCGTATGGTGGCACTTTGTGTCACCGGGTGTTAATCGCTTGTGTGATCTCCTGCTGGGGTACAACAAGCAAGCGGATACATTCAGTGTTCACTGTTTATCGTGTAGGTGTTCAGCCACTAGTTTATCATCAACAACAATAACATGACCTTTGCAGAAATGCTCGTGCCTCTCAAAAATGTGTGATTTCTTCATTATAGTATCACCATATGCTTTATTAAGCAAAGATAGGTCTCTGAGAGTGATTTCTCAAACAAACAAACAAATCTGACAACTGCATATAACTAAACGAAGGACAATTTCAACTCCGCTGATGCTATGTGCGCAAGATACAAATTTCTGTAACCTCTGTTCGAGAATAAATATATAGGTCACGTCTGCCATGTCATTTCGTCAAGGTCACTCATAACTTTTAAAATAAAACTATAATGTTCATGTAATAATTACTAAATCAGAGAAAGAGTAGACTATTCTGGTAACTTTTTTGAACCAACCTCGTATACAAAACAAATGATTTGTAGTTTCTACATAATTTCTCACTAATGCTCTACCTGGCCATGAATCACTTCCACACAATAGGATTGACTCAATATAATCTTTAACAGCTCTCTTTCTTACTTCATTTAGTTGACCAGATAATCAGCTCTATTATAAAGAAGTGGACACTACACAGACAAGATTTATTTTAACACAAACACACACAAACTTACATAGATTTGGCCACATCACCACGGACAAAACCGAAAGCAGTAATTATAGACCAATTCTTAGAGACTCGGAAAAACACACGTTTCTCATCTGTGGATAAACCCAAATAAATATCAGTTATAACATTTTGTAAATACATTTATCGGTTGTGGGGAAGCTTGTGTTTTGTTCAATGATTATGAGGGTCAAGCTGGAGGTAACCTAGTTACCAGCAAGACCCCTCAAGCAGGTCAAAGTAAAGAGAGATTCCCTGGTTATCTAGGTTGGGTGTTGAAGCATGTAGCAACCCCCCCCCCCCCCCTCCCAAACTACCCCTACTTCCATCCACCCCTAAACTACCCCTACTTCCATCCACCCCTAAACTACCCCCTCTCTCTCTTCCAACCCCAAACTACCCCCTCTCCCTTCCAACCCCAAACTACCCCCTCTCTCTCTTCCAACCCCAAACTACCCCCTCTCTCCCTTCCAACCCCAAACTACCCCCTCTCTCCCTTCCAACCCCAAACTACCCCCTCTCTCCCTTCCAACCCCAAACTACCCCCTCTCTCTTCTAACCCCAAACTACCCCCTCTCTCCCTTCCAACCCCAAACTACCCCCTCTCTCTTCCAACCCCAAACTACCCCCTCTCTCTTCCAACCCCAAACTACCCCCTCTCGTCTCCCTTCCAAACCCCCCCCTCTCTTCCCCCCCAAACTCTCCTTCCAACCCCAAACTACCCCCTCTCTCTTCCAACCCCAAACTACCCCCTCTCTCTTCCAACCCCAAACTACCCCCCCTCTCTTCCAACCCCAAACTACCCCCCCTCTCCCTTCCAACCCCAAACTACCCCCTCTCTCTTCCAACCCCAAACTACCCCCCTCTCTTCCAACCACCAAACTACCCCCCTCTCTTCCAACCCCCAAACTACCCCCTCTCTCTTCCAACCCCAAACTACTCCCTCTCTCTTCCAACCCCAAACTACCCCCTCTCTCTTCTAACCCCAAACTACGCTCTCTCTCTTCCAACCCCAAACTACCCCCTCTCTCCCTTCCAACCCCAAACTACCCCTCTCTCTCCCTTCCAACCCCAAACCCCCTCTCTCTTCCAACCCCCAACTACCCCCTCTCTTCCAACCCCAAACTACCCCCCTCTCTTCCAACCCCAAACTACCCCCCTCTCCCTTCCAACCCCAAACTACCCCCTCTCCCTCTCCCCAACCACCCCAAACTACCCCCTCTCTCTTCCACCCCAAACTACCCCCTCTCTTCCAACCCCAAACTACCCCCTCTCTCTTCCAACCCCAAACTACCCCCTCTCTCTTCCAACCCCAAACTACCCCCTCTCTCTTCCAACCCTAAACTACCCCCCTCTCTCTCTCTTCCAACCCCAAACTATCCCCTCTCTCTCTTCCAACCCCAAACTACCCCCCTCTCTTCCAACCCCAAACTACCCCCTCTCTCCCTTCCAACCTCAAACTACCCCCTCTCTCTTCCAACCCCAAACTACTCCCTCTCTCTTCCAACCCCAAACTACCTCCATAAAAACCTCATTTTGGTCACGAAACAACATAAATCTAAGCCTCAAATTCAGATGACAGCCACCAGTTGGAAAGAGGCCAGTCAGAGAGATGAATGCAGGAGAGTGAAATCTGTAAAGGTTCTGAAGAAGAAGTACATTAATCACCTGATGTGTAAAAGAGAGATCAATCATAAATAAGTTGGTTAATGTCAGTAACAACAGTAACAACAGTAACAACAATAACAGTAACAACAGCAACATCAGTAACAACAACAACAGTAACAACAGCAACAACAACAACAACAACAGTAACAACAGTAACAACAATAACAGTAACAACAGCAACAACAGCAACAACAGTAACAACAATAACAGTAACAACAGTAACAACAATAACAGTAACAACAACAACAGTAACAACAATAACAGTAACAACACTTAAGAGAATTCACCTGATTCCTCTGCTGATGACAACAAGAGAACAGAACTAGGTGTAAACTTGTGGAACGGTTTAGGGTGTTCTCCCTTTATGAAATTTTTAACTTCCTCTTCGTTGGTTAAATGAACTGGACCATTCAACTGCCAGCTGGGGAGAAATAATTGACATTATTTATAACTGAGATCCTGTACGTATGGATATACATAAACATTTGTTTTATTTCAAATAAACATGTTTTATTTCAAATAAACATATGTTTTATATCAAATAAACATATGTTTTATTCTATATAAACATGTTTTATTTCAAATAAACATATGTTTTATATCAAATAAACATATGTTTTATTCTATATAAACATGTTTTATTTCAAATAAACATATGTTTTATTTCAAGAAGACAATATATGCTGTCCTTAAAATATTACATCTTATAAGTCAAGTTAATTTGCAATAATATGCTAACATCTAGTAAAAATATAAATATATTGTGACTTACTGGATTCTAAATCAGTTTGAACCATTATTAGGAATGATACTTTAACCACCCTTGGAGGGTGAACACAGAAAAAGTTTTGTTCCAAATGAAGTGCTTTATAAGATATTTACTCAATTTGTTGGTTGTCTACGTGTTACTAGAGCTTCTTTGGGGAAAAACAACTACTGTGTTTCTGTGCAAATAGGTGATATCTTTAAAACAAGCCCTAGCATGATTTTTCAGGATAATTTTAATATAAGCCCTACCCAAAAAAAATAGGCCCTAGTTAAGATCATCAGACAGAATGAGACATTTGTTGCAGAATGACCAGTCAAAGTACAGACACCACTAGAGAAATCCGTTTGGAAACTTTGTGAAGACTAGTTTGAGGGAAGTCGTGACTCGAGGGGAGAATACATGAGACAAAAATAATTAACAAATGTGTTGTGTTACCAATGCACTACGAGTAGGCTACATAGACAAGAAATGGCGATTTAAGGAAAGTATTATTGCTGGACATAGAGACTAGGGCCAATGGTTCTACAGGAAATGGAGTCACAAGAAGTTCAGGCTTCCAGATGAAGATGATATGACTGTATTTGAATAAATGTAGATTTTTCCATCTAAATAAAAACAAAAATATTTCTTGAAAATAAGCCATTGTGTATTCGGGGAGAAAGGGGGGGGGGGGGGTACGGGGGAGACACACAGTAATATAAGACCTGGTCTTATTTTGGGGAAAACAAGGTAGCAACACTATGCCCTTCCAGACATGTCTGAACTCTTTGCATACCAGACAGGTACCATGTTAACTAACTGATTCTGGTTACCCGCAGTAACGAATGCTTGGTTCTTTTCTTTTAATTCACCCATCTTGGGGATTCTGAGATTGTGTTGGAAGTTCCTGGGAAAGTCCAGTAAGTATGAGGGTGTTAGGGTGTGAAATGAACACAGACTAACACTTACCATAACCGCCCCATAATATTGGACTTTCCGGGAACTCGCTGCGAAATCTTGGAGTACCTAAGAGGGGGGTGAACTAAAAGAAAAGCACCAAATATATAGCTCAAAGGGGTTAACAACAACACCAGTAGTCTAAGGGAGCTGGAATAACATCTGCTGTTGCCTAGCTTGTTGAAATGGGGATCGAAATGTTGAACAAAAACCCAGATTATGTTAAAGGTAAGTGAACAAGTTAGTAGAGGACCCTTTTCCACACCTTCAAGTGTAGTGGGCATAGAGGGCTAGATCTATATTTTATAGACCAATCAGTACTTAGTGGGTGATGTGATCAAAATCACATCAGCCACCTGTATTTTCCAGGACTGCACCTGGTACCCAGTTAAAGCTGGGCTGACCTGGATGCCAAGGTCATTTTTAAAGAAAGTCTGGCTCTACCAGGATCCGAACTCATTAATTCCAACCCACAGGTAAGTGCCTAGCCGCTACACCATGGCAGCCCCAGGTCATGTAATGGAGTGGCCATTAAATGCACTGACTGGTATTAATTGGGTTAAGAGGCCACAGGGTGTAAGGTTGGATTTAGAGTTGGCTACCCCAAGTAGAGAGGTGAAATCCAAACTCTGTGCATGCTCATGATTTGTTTCCATACAAAAGGTCAGTTCAAATCAGCAAAAGGGTGATTTTTTTTCTCTTTTAAATGACCTAGGCTCCAAGGTCCATACAGCCTAAAATGGGTACAAGGTGAAGTCCTGGGAAGTAAACGCAGCTAATGTGATGTTGATCAATTTACCCGCTGATAGGTCTATCAAATATATGTCTAGCCCTATATGCCCAATATGCCTAACAGTGTGGAAAAGGTTTCTTTTTTGTACTTTTACTGGTAACTGACCAATGACATAAGTAATGACACGGGTAATGACATGGGTAATGACAAGGGTAATAACAAGGGTAATGAAATGGGTAATGACATGGGTAATGACATGGGTAATGACACGGGTAATGACAAGGGTAATGACATGGGTAATGACATGGGTAATAACAAGGGTAATGACACGGGTAATGATACGGGTAATGACATGGGTAATGACACAGGTAATGATACGGGTAATGACATGGGTAATGACACAGGTCATGACACAGGAAATGACATGGCTAATGACATGGGTAATCACAGTAACTCTTTTGTAATCTTGCACAGTTCAAATTCTCAGCAGGCTTCAGTTCATAATGAAGCAGATAATAAAGATGAGGATGATGATGTAGATAAAAATGATGATGATGTAGATGATGATAATGATGTAGATGATGATAATGATGTAGATGATGATAGAAATGAATGACAAAAATACTCACAAGGGAGATAAAAAAGAATAAACTTCAGATCAACATGGGGAACAACTCTGTAGAAGTCATGTTTCATGAATGCTGGGACATGATTCAATTCCATCTCTTTTGCATGAAGAGCGGACACGGCGTCTGCTATCTGGTCGTCCTGTTTTTGAACTGCTCACATATTGATTCCAGGAAGAAGGATACATACAGAAATATAATGTTCAGTTATAGGTGTATTTATGTGCATATGATCTCGGCTCATTATGTGATGACTATAATATAAAGACCAACATAGACAAAACATAAGTGACCTCATATTGTTTGTACTTTCCATCCTTTTTAGGATGAAATGTTTTGTTATTTGAAGCCCTACTCTGGCTTTGCCAGGGGCCACAATATAGCCTGGCCATAAATATGGCCTAAAGGCTGAACGCGGTTTCTGGGACCTCTCCACGGTGATCCTCACCCACATGGTGGCACATTGTGTCATCGGGTGTTTATTGCTTGTGTGATGTCCTGGTGGGGTAGAAAGTCGGTCAGTCATAAGTGACCATAAATAATCTCCAGAAAAGAAAGAACTACCGGTATCAAAATTGATGAACACCAGTTAAAGCAGGCAAAGGAGTTTACACATCTGGGGAGCATCCTTTCAGAAGACAGAAGAATTAATAAAGAAATCCAACAAAGATGCAATAAAACAAATTAAATTATAGGCCAAATGGCATCAAAGTTTGAAAATGCAAGCGCCTGAATATGAACACTAAAAGAGCACTGTTTAACACAATATGCTTACCAACACTATGCTTTCGATGTCAAACATGGACACCGTCTTCAGATAACAGAAGGAAACTAGTCTAGACAAAATGAAATGTTTATGTATATGCTTATTGTAACAAAGAAAGATCGACTTAGTAACGATGATGTCAAGAGGGAAGTTGGCACAGAACCAATACTGAACTTTATTGGTAGACAACAAATCAAATGGTTTGGCCATGTAAAAAGATTGGCAAAAGACAGGGCACCACAGAGAGCAATGTTATACAGATATAGTGTTAACAGAGCCAGAGGTCGACCATGCAGAAGATGGGCCACATAAATATCAGAGACACTGAAAATTACTATATATGAAGTGAACAGAAGGACTCGTTCCAGAGATCTCTTCCTGCCCTGATGCTGCGAGGCTTTCCAGGTGTAGAGAAAAGAAGAACAAGGTCAAAAAGTTAGCTGCATTTGATTTACATACTGTTATAAACAGCCCTGTTGTGTTCATGTCTGGTGCGCACTTAGGTTACTTTGTAACCATCAAGAGCCCCAATATAACCTTATGGCTGAATGGGAATTACTGGGATTTAAACAGGTGGGATTCTCATTCTTGAGGTGCTAATCTTGTGGACTACAATCCTGGAGATGACAAATGAAACCAACCCCAGCATGAATCAACTGTTTGTAGTTTTACTAGATAATTTTATGTTAAGTAGTTTGCCACCACTTTCTGAAACATCCGTGAACCAAACCATTGAAATCAATGCAATGCAGTCTGCTGTCAAACTGCCTGCAGCTGAACTGAGGTTTCCAAACTCTAAGTCCCACCTACCGACTGTTTGATTATGTAGTTGTACAAATATACACGCTCACAAGACAGAGTGGACATTTATACTATAAAAGTTAAAATCTGCTTAAATCACCATTGATCACTGGCATCATGAGGGCTATTTGACTGAAATGGTTGGGGCATATTGATAGAATGTTAGATGACAGAGAAGTAAAAACTGTATACACAAGGGAGCTGAATGGTGGTAGATGATGAGGCCAACCAAGAAGACGATGGAGAGATAACGTCCAGACAGACCTGCAAACACTTGGTGTCACCAACTGGACAGAGAAGGCCAACCAGAGAGATGAATGGAGACAAGTTGTACCTGCAGCAATGAACCTCAAGGGCTCATAGTGCTGAAGAAGAAGTTAAAGAGCAGTTAGTAATACCTTTGTTATTCATTCAGACTCAAAGAATATAAAAGATCAAGCAACTCTGGCCTCACCAAGGTATTCACTTATAAAGACTGCTCTTAGTCCATCCCTTGAGGTTATCTTCCTACTTTCACCATGTGGGTTCTAGGGCTCCATTATGTGAGGGGAAAAAAAGATCCACTGTTCACCCCCTACCCTTTTTTTTTACAAGCATATCATAAAAGGCGCATAAAAAGCTGAGGTTGTAAAGTCATTATTAGTTGGTAGTTGTGGATGTAAAGTCATTAGTTGGTAGTTGAAGCTGCAAATTAATTAGTTGGTAGTTTTGGATGTAAAGTAATCAGTTGGTAGTTGAGGCTGTAAAGTCATTAGCTGGTAGTTGAGGCTGTAAAGTCATTAGCTGGTAGTTGAGGCTGTAAAGTCATTAGCTGGTAGTTGAGGCTGTAAAGTCATTAGCTGGTAGTTAAGGATTTAAAGTCATTAGCCAGTAGTTGAGGCTGTAAAGTCATTAGTTGGTAGTTGAGGTTATAAAGTCATTAGTTGATAGTTGAGGCTGTAAAGTCATTAGCTGTTAGTTGAGGCTGTAAAGTCATTAGCTGGTAGTTGAGGCTGTAAAGTCATTAGCTGTTAGTTGAGGCTGTAAAGTCATTAGCTGGTAGTTAAGGATTTAAAGTCATTAGCTGGTAGTTGAGGCTGTAAAGTCATTAGCTGGTAGTTAAGGATTTAAAGTCATTAGCTGGTAGTTAAGGATTTAAAGTCATTAGCTGGTAGTTGAGGCTGTAAAGTCATTAGCTGTTAGTTGAGGCTGTAAAGTCATTAGCTGTTAGTTGAGGCTGTAAAGTCATTAGCTGGTAGTTGAGGCTGTAAAGTCATTAGCTGGTAGTTGAGGCTGTAAAGTCATTAGCTGGTAGTTGAGGCTGTAAAGTCATTAGCTGGTAGTTGAGGCTGTAAAGTCATTAGCTGGTAGTTGAGGCTGTAAAGTCATTAGCTGGTAGTTAAGGATTTAAAGTCATTAGTTGGTAGTTGAGGTTGTAAAGTAATTAGTTGGTAGTTGAGGTTGTAAAGTCATTAGCTGGTAGTTGAGGCTGTAAAGTCATTAGCTGGTAGTTGAGGCTGTAAAGTCATTAGCTGGTAGTTGAGGCTGTAAAGTCATTAGCTGGTAGTTGAGGCTGTAAAGTCATTAGCTGGTAGTTGAGGCTGTAAAGTCATTAGCTGGTAGTTGAGGCTGTAAAGTCATTAGCTGGTAGTTAAGGATTTAAAGTCATTAGCTGGTAGTTAAGGATTTAAAGTCATTAGCTGGTAGTTGAGGTTGTAAAGTAATTAGTTGGTAGTTGAGGTTGTAAAGTCATTAGTTGGTAGTTGAGGTTGTAAAGTCATTAGTTGGTAGTTGAGGTTGTAAAGTCATTAGCTGGTAGTTGAGGTTGTAAAGTCATTAGTTGGTAGTTGAGGTTGTAAAGTCATTAGTTGGTAGTTGAGGTTGTAAAGTAATTAGTTGGTAGTTGAGGCTGTAAAGTCATTAGTTGGTAGTTGAGGCTGTAAAGTCATTAGTTGGTAGTTGAGGTTGTAAAGTCATTAGTTGGTAGTTGAGGTTGTAAAGTAATTAGTTGGTAGTTGAGGTTGTAAAGTCATTAGTTGGTAGTTGAGGTTGTAAAGTCATTAGTTGGTAGTTGAGGTTGTAAAGTCATTAGCTGGTAGTTGAAGATTTAAAGTCATTGGTTGGTAGTTGAGGTTGTAACTTCACAGCAAATGGCTGACCCTATAATAACTGTGCCAATGAAAATCACATAAAATGCCTTTTCTGAAAATTAGTGAAAAGCAGATCAGTCAAACCAAAATCTAGAAGCCTGCAAGCACAAAGTAAACAAATAAGGCAGCTACCAGATGTGCCAACACTAACAGTCCCCCATCAAACTGCAGTTTCTTGTTGATGGAAACAGTCAATTACGACAAGCAGGAATTTACACATACAGTACAATTTTAAGCACATGCCAGTCTGAATGTTATTTGCCACATGCCAAGGACACATGGGGTAAAATCTGGACATTTGTCGACGAGAGATTGCTTTTACTGATGATTGGTAGACTCCTGCTGTACATGCTCCTCTGTGGAGTTCCTTCTTATTGTACGTGGCTAGCCCACAAAGACAACCAGGAAAGGCCTTTTGACACCTATGGAAAGACTGGCCCCCCGGTATTGCCGGGGGGGGGGATAACTGACATCTGGAGACTGATGTCGACAGTGGACCGGGTTGATCACCCTTAACACAGTATAATACCTCTGATTTCGAAACCACATAAAGAAGTATGCCCCCAGGGTCCATCGAAAGAAGGGGAGAATAATGGACCCAATCAATTAGATACTAACGGTGATGACCTTGCTAGCCCCCGGACTCCCGATTCTTGCCCAACATCCGGGCTGGCTCTGTACATGTGGGAAGAGCTTCACGGGGTTGCATGGTCTGAGAACTCATGCCGGAAGGATGAAATGCGAGGGTGCATCACACAGTAAACGCCATCGCAAAACTACCACTCCCGTAGTAGTTACTAAGTCGTTAGGGGACGACGGGCAGGGTATACCCCACTCGCCCGAGAGGCCATGACGTCGACTGCGGAGGTGCACATTTGATGATTCCTGAAGAAGTGCGTTCAAAGATCAGGTTTCCACCTGTGAGCGACAAGGTGTCATGGGGTAAGCTGGAAGGTACACTACGTGAGAAATTAAATCATGATTTAAAGAAGAAGTCGTTAGGTGATAAGCTTACAGGGTTTGGTAATATTATATACGAACACTGTTCCCGCGAGTTCGGGACAGTCGAAATGGCGCAGCCGGGCGTCAAGCAAAATACAAGCAGGAGACAGAAGGACATTCTGAAGTGCAGGGCAGACAACAACACACTCAGAAAATGGTTCAAAGCCGCTACAGATAGCGAACGGGAGGGGCTGCATGAGATCTGGTTGCACCTGAGAAACAGACACAGTGCCCTCTGTCACGCTGAGCGTTTCTGTAATAACATACGGAGAACCAAAATGGAGCGAGAGAAATTCTTTAGGGACCCTTTCCAGTTTGCCCGAGGTCTATTCGAGCAACCGAAGACTGGGACTCTGGTGGTCAGTAAAGAGGAGCTTGAGTTACATTTACGCAAAATGTACTCAGACAAGAAGAGGAATGAGCCTCTCGATAACAATCCAGAGATCCATAGCGGCCTTAAGCAGCCTTAGTTGCTGAAGGTATAATTTAAAATGATACCTCCCTCTTGGTCTGAGGTCGAGGAAGTTGTGAAAAGAGCTAGCGGCAAGTCTGCCCCAGGTCCAAATGGTGTTCCGTACGTCTTGTACAAGCACTGTCCAAAAGTCCTACAAATGCTTCACGGCTTGTTGAGACAAGCGTTGAGCCCAAAACACATATGTCCGGAGTGGCAACGGGCCAACGGGGTCTACATTCCTAAAGAGCAGGACTCGAAGAGTCTTTCCCAATTCAGGCCTATTCCGCTGTTGAACGTTGAGGGCAAAGTATTCTTCTCGGTCATGGCTCACCGGCTCACAGAGTATCTGATGGGGAACAAGTACATCGATACGAGTGTTCAGAAAGGTGGAATCCCGGGCACCTTGAACACGCGACCATGATCTGGGAGAGGGCCAAGCATGAGAGAACTCCGTTGCACGTGATATGGTTGGACCTCCCCAATGCCTATGGGGCAGTTCCCCATAGGCTACTGTGGCAGGCCCTTCGCATGTTTCACGTACCGACACAGATCAACGAAATGATGGAGCAATATTTCTCTAAGTTCACTTTGCGCTTCTCTACCTCGACGTTTACCACGAGGTGGACTCAGTTCCAAGTTGGGATAGCTATGGGGTGTACGATCTCGCCAATACTGTTCGTGATGACCATGCAGGTCGTGTTAGACGGGATGGCCGGCTACGGAAAGAGCCTTCAGATTGGGGACCACTGGATGCCGCCACTACGTGCATTTATGGATGACACGACTATAATCACGGGCAGCGAGGAGTTTGCTCGCACGATTCTGGAGCGGTATGCAATTCAAACCGCAGAAGTCGAGGAGTCTGACAATCCTAAAAGGTAGGGTGGCGGCGACCAGTTTTACGGTGGCAAGGAATCGGATCCCCACGGTTCTAGAGGACCCGGTGAAGAGCCTTGGTCACGTTTATGATTCGAAGTTATCTGATAGAGCGGAGGTCCAGCGAATACATAAGTCACTAGCTACAGGCCTGCTGGCGATCGAGCATAGCAGGCTGATCAGAAAGTTCAAGGTCTGGTGTCTCCAATTCATGTTGATTCCAAAGCTCCTCTGGCCGCTGTTAGTCTACGAAGTGACGATGACTGCAGTGGAGACAATGGTGCGCAAAATCAACACAGCCACGAGGAAGTGGTTGGGAGCACCGCCTTCTCTGACTGATGTGGCTCTGTATTGTAAACAGGCTAAGCTGATACTCCCATTCAAATCAATAACCGAAGAGTTTAAAGTCGGCAAAGTAAGACTCGCCATGCTCTTGAGTGAGTCTTCAGACCCAAATGTCATCGCTGTCCAGCCCGCTCTAAAGACTGGCGTGAAGTGGAAGGTCCTAGACGTGATCGAATCTGCCCAGAATGTACTAAAATTAAGAGAAGTTATGGGTTACACTCAAACCGACCGTCGAGGCCTAGGGCACGGGAAAGTCAGTTGGTGGTCCAAAGCCACAGCCAAAGAGCGCCGAGACATGGTGATACAGCAGATCAGGGACACCTAAAACGAGGTTCGGGTCCAGAAAGCAGCCCAACAGTCGCAGCAAGGCCAGTGGATCAGCCTAGAGAGCGCCTTGCCACGAGTACTCACATGGGGTGAGATCTGGTGAATGGCCCCACTGTGACTGAGCTTTATCGGTTGAACTGCCTACTATGTATTACCGTCCGGTGTCAACATGGTAAAGTGGAGTGTGGCTAACGAACCGACATGCCCGCTATGCAGAGCTAAACAGACGCTCAAGCACGTACTGTCCGCGTGCAGAAAAGCCTTAAGTCAAGGCAGGTATATTTGGTGCTACAACAAGGTGCTGAAAGAGTTAGCGGCCCTTTTGGACCAAGCGATGATGAGGGCCAATGTGAGGACCAGTCCTATCGTCATCCCTGTACGCTTCTTTAAGGCTGGGCAGATTCATAAAGGTAAATTCAACAAAGTCGCATACGCTCCTTCGATGCTAGACTGTGCGAGGGACTGGTTACTTGCAGCTGACCTGCCTGGTCATGAAAAGTACCCTGGGTTAATCTGGAAGACTGGCCTGCGACCTGACATAACCCTACACTCTGCGGAGAAACGTCAGCTCATCCTGATTGAGCTGACCTGCCGTATGAGTCGTGAATGGACGAAAGCCATATGTATAAGCTCGAGAAATACAGTGACTTAGCGGCTGGTCTGAAGAGAGGCGAAGCGTACACAATAAGAATCTTCGCCGTCAAGGTAGGCGCAAGAGGTCTCGTTTCCACTTCAATGTACAATGTGATTAAACAACTAGGCTTACGAGTGAATGAACGCAAACGAGCACTAAAACAACTGGGTGAGGTTGCTGAGAGGGCCTCGAGCTGGCTCTGGACGCAGCGAAACGTCGTGGGGGACGGGCCTCGGTGAGCTGGTCCGGGTGTCTAGTGGAAAAGAATTTCTTATCCCTTAAAAGTCCATCGTGTCCGAAGTGTCTGCCAGTGTCACTCTGCCACCTGCCAACAATCCAACATGTTTCCGGTAAACCAAACGTAAGCTTGCCACTTGGTCGTCCAGGTAAACAGAATGCTTTAATTATGCTACCGCAACGACTTCATATCTCACATTACCTTTTACAAAGTCACCAATTTGTCTTGACCCTGTCCGATAACATCTGGTAATACGTGCAGCAGGAGAAACCAACCGTGAGCCTCATAAACTCAGGTGGGCCCACTCTCTGAAAATGTCTAGGAGCTCGAGGGCCGAAATATTTGTCGACGAGAGGTTGCTTCTACTGATGATTGGTAGACTCCTGCTGTACATGCTCCCCTGTGGAGTTTCTTCTTATTGAACCTACCATTATCACTGAGGAACATGTACCTATTCAAGAGGTGGCCCGCGGGCCAGATTTGGTCCTTGGAGGCCTAGCAAGTGGCCTGCGGATCATTGCCAGTTGTATTGTATTAATGATCTTCCTATGCTAAGGTTTAGCCCTCTGGCCAGTGACAATCCTCATTTTCCAAATTTGGGCCCACTCGGTAAACTTTGTTGAATAGCCCTGATGTACATAATGATGTAAATTCTACACCTACCATTATCACTGAGTAACATTTACATAATGATGTAGAATCTACACCTACCATTATCACTGAATAACATGTACATAATGATGAAGATTCTACACCTACCATTATCACTGAGTAACATGTACATAATGATGTAGATTCTACACCTACCATTATCAGGTACACCACCACATCCACAGTTCGACTCCGTTTCCTCAGGTTCTGTCATCCCAAAACCTTGACCCTTTTCCGGGAAAACCACAGATCTGATGAACTCCTGCACATTTGCCAGTGACCATCTTTTACTCTGATCCATAAAGATTGTAACCCCATCCTGCAGATGTAACAGTGCTCAGATATACAGTAAATACATTATTTATACAACAACAGAATTTGAATTTGTTCACTGGTTTCTTGTGTGATTTATTTAATGAATGAAAAGAAAAATCATTTAGAAATCAGCAAGATAGTCAGTGCACAGTAAGAATAACAGAAGAAACGACAGACAGGTTCCCCATCTCATCAGGTGTCAGACAGGGATGTGTCCTCTTACGACTGCTCTTAATTACTTATATGGATAGAATTCAATCAATCAGGTGCCGTCTCCACAATGAAGGTTGGCTGCAATCGATCTCCAACAAGCCCTGTCTCTTGCCCTTGATGTACACTCGCTCATACTACTGTTCATCCATCTCTTGATGTTATCCTCCCACTTCTAATGCCGTCTGCCTTTTGCTCGCCTACCTTGAACCTTTCCCTCTAGGATGATCTTTACAATACTGTTATGTCTTTTAATGTGGCCAAAATATTTCAATGGATAGAATTACACATGGTTAAAAAAAAATTCAGACACTGAAAAAATCAACAAACCGCTTTTTGAAGATGATCAGTATTTAACTCGTTTAGTCCCAAGGAACACACATTACACCCTAATCGGTTACTACCCACTCAGCTAATCGGTTACTACCCACTCCGCTGATCGGCTCGTGATGCGTTCAGGTTTTTAATTTACAACTGCCTAGTAGAACTGGCAGTTTTGAATGGTATTTCCTGTTCTTTGTGTAATTGTGGGGTAAAGAAAGAGTTAAATTACAGAGTCAATAATTCTTAAAAAAAACTATACATCAGGTAAAAATAATTTTATATATATATATATATATATATATATATATATATATATATATATATATATATATATATATATATATATATATATATATATATATATATATATATATATATGTGTGTGTGTGTGTGTGTGTGTGTCGGCTCTGTGGCTAAGTCGATGCGAACGCTTCGCTTCGTAATGCCGGGATGCCGGGTTTGATCCTAGCTGCGGGCCATGCGCCTTGCGTTGGTTTCGACAGTGGTATCAAGAAAGCCGACCGCCCAGAAAGCAATGGCAAACTACTGGATGTAAATTGCCTAGAAAAACCACACAACAGCCAGGGGCTGTTAGGGTTGGTTCTGCAACGTCCTGTAAAGGATACACAACTAACTATACATATATATATATTCCCAACACTGGCAAACAAGGACAAATGAAAGACTGATGCAACTATCTTTTGAACGATAGCAAAATCTCACAAGACACAATTGTACCTGTTTGATACCAACAGCTGGCAATTTCCCAGAATGCCCTTGTTGTTTAGCCTGCGTCAAACATTCTTCATCATCCCTGTATTACGTCGTCAAAGAGAAAATGATAATATTATTTATTACTATCAGCCGATTTCTTCTGAATGAGTTAAATTTCATAGAACTGACACACACTGTGGAATACATATATATAGTAAAGAAACTTTTCCCCCACCATCAGGCGTATTGGGCATGTAGGGCTAGACCTTAATTTTATAAATAGACAGACACTTAGTGGGGGATGTGGTCAGCTATGTGTTCTGCTATCCAAGTCAGAGCTGCAGTGATTGCCTTCACTTTTCACGTGTGCGCGCAGGCGTGTGTGCATATGTGTGTGCGTGCATGTGTATGTGTATTTTTTCTTTTTCTTAGCATTCCTTGGCTGTTGATTCCACACGTCTCAGGCAGACACACTTTGAATCGAAGGACTTCCGGTCAAAATGGACGTTAGGCAGCGGCACTGTTCAAAACAGAGGCAAAATTTTTGCTTCTGCCCGACGGTGGCCGATGCATTTTGCTACATTTGTAGACTGGATATAGTTTCGTCACCCAGCTTCTGAGTTGAATGCATGGCGTGACCCTGTGAGCTGCGGATTGCATTTGGAATGTTTTTTCGACTGTGACCAACTTGTTGGTGTGAATTGTAGATTCAGAAAATGGTGTGATGCCTGTGTTGTGGTGCCCGTATGTGATTAAAATTGAACGTGTGGGCAACTGCTGATCTGTTAGCGACTTCTGCTACCATCAATGATGAACTGCAATTCTAATACTGTGATAAACATTCTGTGTGTTTTTCGTTGGCACAGGAGTGGAGCATAAATGGGGTGATCAATTTGCTATGAAGCTGAAACTAAGACTACCAGACTACCAGAATCGAAAGAAAATCCCCAATCAGTTGCCTTGTATGACATGCTCATTTGAGTTTCACTCGGTCTTTTCTCAACCACAATGAGGACCGCAAAACTCTCATGGAAAGGGGGGGGGGAGGGGGGGTTATATTTCTTCTTCTTCTGCCTTTCTATCCCCCAATGGAGCATAGGCCCTCAACCAACTCACGCCAAGTCATTCTATCCTTCGCCATTGCATGGAGCTCTCCCCATGTCCTCCCAATCTTTCTAACCTCGTTCTCCAGCTGTCTTCTCCATGTGTTTTTTGGCCTTCCTTTATTCCTATGCCCCTGTGGGTTCCAATGCAAAGACATTCTAGTAATGCTGTTCTCCTGTTTTCTCAGTGTGTGCCCTATCCAACGCCAGCGTCTTTTCCTCACTTCCTGATCCACTGGAGCCTGTTTAGTTCTCTCCCAAAGTTCTACATTAGTTATTCTATCATACCATTTTATTCCCTCTATTTTGCGCAGGCACCAGTTAATGAATGTCTGTAATTTATTAGTAATTGCCTTGGTTGTTCTCCATGTTTCCGCCCCATACAATAGTACTGATTTGACATTAGAATTAAAAATTTTTAGTTTAATATTTCTTTTAAATTCTTTTGACCTCCACAAATTCCCTAGTGCTATGAAAGCCCCTCTTGCCTTTTGTATTCTTATTTTAATATCTCTATCAGTTCCTCCATCTTTATCTACATTACTGCCTAAATAGGTGTACGAATCCACGTCTTGGAGTGATTTATTCTCATTATCTTTGTCTTTCCTTTATGGATTTTCAGACCAAGCTGCTGTGATCTCGCATTAAGTATATTTAATTTATCTTGCATCTGATTCTGTGAATGGGACAGAAGAGCAATATCATCAGTGAAGTCCAGATCATCAAGCTGTTTTGTAGGGGTCCACTGAATTCCATTCTTGGTGTTAGCAGTTACTGTTTTCATAGTCCAGTCTATAGCCAGTAAAAATAAGAGAGGCGACAAAAGACATCCCTGTCGCACACCTGTTTTTATTTCAAATGCATCTGTTAGCTTTCCCTCATGAAGAACTCGACATTTCATGTCTTTATATGTTGCCTTTACTAAGTTGATAATTTTCTGTGGGATTCCATAGTGCCCCATCAATTTCCAGAGAGATTCCCTATCTATGCTGTCAAATGCTTTTTCATAGTCCATAAATCCAATGTAAAGTGGTGAGTTCAGTTCAATGCTTTGCTCTATTATAATACGTAATGTAGCTATCTGATCAGTACAGGATCTGTTTCTTAGCATTTTATCAATAGCATCTTTTAATCTTTCCAAAATAATTCTACTTAATATTTTTCCAGGAACTGACAGCAACATAATTCCTCTATAGTTTTCACACTCCTGTAGATCACCTTTTTTGGGCAGTTTCACAAGATATCCTTCTCTCTAGTCTGCTGGTATTTCTTCGGTCTCATAATCTATGTAGCAATTCTGTTAATGTGTTTATGTTGGTCCTCATGGCTTCAGCTGGGATACCATCTGGGCCTGTCGCCTTTCCTTCCTTGAGAAGATTTATAGCTTTTCTTATTTCCTCTTTGGATGGTATCTCACAGTTGATATCCAGTTCCATTTCTAAAGGCTGGATATCTGGGGGAACCTCTGGGCCTGGTCTATTTAGAAGCATTTCAAAATATTCAACCCATCTGTCCATTTGATCTTTAGTGTTAGTAAGTACCTTTCCTTGACTATTTTTGATTCATCCAGTTGGCTGAATATATTTACCTACTAATTTTCTTGTGTTACTGTAAAGTTCTCTGAGGTTTCCTTTTGCTGCTGCTGTCTCTGCTTCTTGTGCTAAATCATTTAGATATTTCACTTTATATATGCCTCCTAACTTCCTTGTTGGCTTCTGTGTATTTCTCCTGAGCTCTAGCTTTAGCAGCTCTAGTTTTGCTATTGTTTAATTCTGCCTTTTCACTTTTCCTATCTTCAATCAGTTTAATGGTTTCTGGTGTTATCCATGCTTTATGTTTCCTTTCTTTCTTGCCAAGAACTTCTACGCAAGATTCATTCCAGATTCCTTTGATCTGATCCCAGCAGACTTCTGTGTTGAGATCTTCAGCTAACTGCTGCAACACCTAGTACTTATTAGAGACCGTAACTGAGAACTGTTCCTTAATTTCTTTATCTCTGAGAAAGCCTACATTATATTGGTTTCTATGATTATAAGATGTTATATATCTTTTTAGCTTCAACTTAATTTTACTTACCACCAGGAAATGTTCAGTAAATACATCGGCACCTCTGAAAGCCCTAACATCGTAAAGGGATGATCTAAACTTTTTGTTAATACATATGTGGTCAATTTGATTAGTTGTCTTATGGTCTGGTGATTCCCATGTTGCCTTGTGTATACTTTTATGGGGAAAAATACTTCCACCAATAACATACTGGTTACCTGCACAAAAATGTGTGAACAATTCTCCATTTTCATTCATTACTCCTAGACCATGTCTCCCCATAATTTCTTCATAACCTGTGTTGTCTGATCCTATCTTAGCATTCAAGTCACCCATCAAAATTTTTAAGTTGCCCTTTCTTTCATTATTTATAATATTTTGACGCTGCATGTAAAATTCTTCCTTAACAGATGCATCTTTATCATTTTTTGGTGCATAACACTGTATTACCGACATGTTCACCTTCTGTTTAACTGTTCTAAAAGATGCTCTTATTATTCTGGGACTCACAGCTTCCCATTCTATTAGTGCCCTGTCTGCTTCTTTTGATAGCATCAGGGCCACTCCTTCACTGTGCGGCGAATTTTCCTCTGTGTGTCCTGAGAACAAAATAGTTTCTCCTGAATTTAGAATATTTTTCCCTGCCCCAGTCCATCTAGTTTCACATAACCCTAAAATACTAATTCTATAATGTTTCATTTCCTTTGCTACTTCCATTGTTCTCCCTATATCATAGAGAGTTCTAACATTCCAGGTGCCAATTCTGGAGGTTTTCTTAGCTGAGAGGAGGTACGTCAACGATCCGGACTCCTTACGGTTTTCACCACACCATGTCATACTTCTTCTATTTGAAGAGCCTTCCCTCATCTTGGTTGGCTGGATTTTATTTGCTTCTCTTTTTGACTTATCCATGGTTGGTTGGTTTTTGTGGCTATGGTTTTTACAGGATGAGGTAGCCAACCTCGAGCCCAACCCTACCCTTAGTCCCCTCTTACGACATGCCTGGCAGGGTGCAGTGTCACTATTCTTTGCTTCCCGTGAGAGCCCCGGTGACACACGGGCGGGGTTATATTTAACTGAACTTATAAAAGCTGTCACAACCAAATACCTACATGTCTACTAGAACCAACTTGACATAGCCCTTCAGGTCAAACTTGACGAACTCAGTGACTGAAGTCATCTTTTTTTGCTCATCCTTCCTGGCATATAGATAAATGATGGGCAGCGGGTCAGACAACTCAAAAACTTGACTGACACCATCAGCTGGAGCATGGTACTAGGAATGAAACAAAACATAAATGAGAGACAAGTGACATGATGTTAGTTCTACAAGGGAAGACAGGGGATCAGAAACAATAAAATATTATGGTAATCTTGGTTTTAGCTTCATAACAAATGGATCAGCCCATAGTTGCCCCACTCCTGTAAAAAAGAAAAACACACACAGAATGTCCATCAGTGTATCTTGTGGAAAAATTGACACAGATTGCAGTCTCAGTACATCTACTAGCTAACACAGGCAATAAAAGCATAAGGAAGCCAACATTAGAAAGGCAGTTTATCATTTACAGGGGCAGCAATTACAAACAGATCAGCAGTTGCACACGCAATCAATTTTAATCACTTATGGCAGCCCCAATTCTGTGGCAACAGGCCACAAGCCATTTCCTGAAACTAAGGTTCACAACATCATGTTTGGTGACTGTGAAAACATTCCAAATTAAATCTGCAGCTCACAGTGTCATGCCATGGTCTCAACTCAGTAGCCGGGCACCAAACTGTATCATTTCAGTCTAAAAATGGAGGAAAATGCAAAAACCATGGACTGTCAGAAGCAGAACATTTGCCACGTCTAAAAACAGTGACCTGTTGAAAAGTGGGGGTAGTAGAAGTGACAGATTTCATTAGAAAACAAGCAAAATGATTCAACCATTTAACTCGGCTGTCAAAGGACATTATACTACAAGGAGCAATATTGTTCACACTAAGTATATAGCTTCTATACTTTTAACTTAATTCTTTGAGTCCCAGGGGGTTTAGCATCGCAGGCCCAGGGGGTAGTAAAGAAAGTAATAAAATTGGCGCATCATGCGTTCATTGGGCTTCTAGGTAGGAACCTATGAACGTATGATGCGTTCCTTGGGACTCAAAGAGTTAAGAAGCACTTCTCCTGAAACGGATCTCTTACCAAATTCCTCTGCAACAATCGCTGGATAAACTGGGCCAAAGCCGTAAAGGCCACCTCATCTGTGTACGCAACATTGTGACAGCTGACATCCACAGGTTTATCCAGACTTGTGGATTCAGCACAAAACAGAATCCACAAGGACAAATGGGATCCAGTCTCTAGCTGTTTGTTGCTTCTGTGTCAACAACAACAAAATTAACGTAACAATCCAAAACTGTACTAACTTTGCTGATTGCAAATGGCTGTGATTGTACTTTGCTGATTGCAAATGGCTGTGGTTGTAAACAGTTGTGATTATACATTTTTGTGATTGCAAACTATTTTTACTACAAAGTGTTGTGACTGTAAACTATTGTGACTGCAGATTGTTTGTGACTGCAAATTGTTGTGACGACAAACTATTGTCATTATAAATTGCTGTGATTGTAAACTGTTGTAACTGCAAATTTTTGCTACTCAGGTGGTGCAGTGGTAAGACTGCTTGACCTCTAAGGTACTGGGTCCAGATTCAAAAGCTAGCAATGGCAGGATTATTGTTTCTAACCAATAAAACCTTAGGATCAATCCAGCTTCACAAAATAAGGTAAACGAAATCCTGAAGTAGATAATGCCACTGGAATGGTTCAGGCTTAATACTGTAAGCCATGATTGTCAGTTCCGTTTCTCATCCTCCATTTTCTCACAGACTATTCCCAAGAAAATTGTGAAATTTGTCTGGTACCTACTATATGAAATTATGCTGAGTTCACAGTCGTCAACATCATCATCAAGTGCTCTGCTGACTGGCATGGGCAATCATACCTGCCCACAATCTACGATCTGCAATGCATGAATCAGTTTGTGTGTTGACACTCCTTCATGCAATGAGAAAAGGCCGTCAAGAATATTCTTGCTTTGTCTTCCTCTGTCTCTTTTTCCACAGATTTGTCCAGTGGTCACAACATGTTTCAATTTCATTCTTCTCATAATGTGACCAAAAATGATGACTGTCTCTTTCTGATGTTTGTGATGTTGTCTTCGAGTCTTCACACCTTCAGAAACATCTGGGTTGACTTTTTCTGGGTGTCAGAGGAATTCTAAAGATTCTTCTGTAAAACCACATCTCTGAGGCCTCAGGAAATTGTTGGGCATGTTAATTAATTGTTGAGGAATCACTTCTTCTTCTTCTTTTGTCAAAATCTGCTTGTGCCGCTAGGCGTCGCAGTCTATCAGATGATCGGCAACCGAGCCAGGGCGCGCTCAGTCGCTTCATATGCCGTGATGTTATGAAGTCTCAAGTTGTCCGTGACTCCTTCAATCCATCTTCTTCTTGGTCTTCCCCTGCCTCTTGGTGTTTCGATTTTCATGTTGTATGCTCTTGATGCTGGCATCGTTGGTTCCATCCTCATTAGGTGACCAAACCATTTCATTCTTTGCCTCTCAATAAATTTAACGATGGGTATGGTTCCAATAGTTCTTGTTTTCACATTGTTTCTCACTCGATCTCTTATGGTTTTATTCGCAGCCATTCTCAAACATCTCATTTCACAGGTGGTTAGTCTTCTCTCGTGTTCTTTTTGAGGAATCACAGCCAGTGTTAAAACTGGCTCTATAAGCATGTAAGAAATTGTTTCCTAACCTCCAGTAACATAGATTCATTAAATAACATTTTCTTCCAAAGCCATACTGAGTGCAAACAAAAAGTCTTGATTTGACTGAATCCAACTAGTAGGTTTGCAGGCAAGCAAATCAGTCACTCAGCCAGCACTGCTCCTGTAATCAGTACATTACATTTACACACAAATATACCAACCACAGTGATGGTAAGCGCATTAACAAATTTGACTTATCCAAAAACATGCATGCCCACAAATCCACACAGCCATTTTTGCAAGACAAGTACAATAACCACTTACCCCTTACACTTATGGGCACCTGCAGAGATCTACTAGCTAAACACTTGCCTGCCAGCAAAAAAGTCTAGAATCTGAATGTTCACCTCCCAGGGTGAGTGCCAGGACCCCATTGTGGGGAAACAGAAAAAGAACAGACCACTGAATCGCTAACAAGCATGTCATAAGAGTCGACTTATTCAGGGGTTCCTTCAAAATCAGAGAGCATCTGCCTGAGAGGAAAGGAACCAACAGTCTGCATACAACCAATCCAAATCTGTAAAAAAATAGATGTGCATGTCAAACTTGTTCTGGAACATGACTAAAGTTCAGAAGTGGACAAACAACCAGAACTTTCCACCAGAGTACACAGCCGGTGAATGCAAAGAGGAAGACAAAGAAGATTCTTTCACCAAGGCAGATTTTTTCTTTACAAAATTTGCCTTGGCTCCCAGGTTTACGAAGTCTAAAGTGGGTACAAGTTAATATCTTGGGAAGTAAAGGCGGCTGGCACAAGCTGACCACATCACCTACTGAGTGCTGATTTGTCTATAAATATCTACACGCAGACACTCATGTGTACAAACATCCATTTATGCCTGGATTTTAGCACAAACTCCCTCAGAATAAAGCACCTGTTCCAACTGGAACCCAGTGGGTGTGCTCAACATCATACTAGCCACTTTTACTTCCCAAGATTTTTCCTGGTACACTTCATAATTTGGGTCAATATGGCAGACACAGTCATTTGTATTGAAATGTGCCCAGTGCATACTTGAACTCAAGACATTCAGCTCACCGCAGTTTTTGTGTGACCTTGACATCTGTAGTCAACGCAAATTGGAAGTGGTCATGGAAACTATAAGCTACTTCCAGAAAAATCCGATGATCTGAAAATATAAAACAAGACTATAAGAGTTAAGCAATGACTATCCAAACATACTCACAGATAAGAATGATGATTTTGCAATGAAGATAATGTAAAATATCAAAATATTAAATTAAACAATCATGGGCCATCTTCACACTGAAGGTAGGCGCAACGGATCTCCAACATGCTCTGTCTACTGTCTTGGTTGGACACTCTCTCAGACTACTGATAATCCATCTCTTGATGTTGCCTTCCTACTTTTATCGTTGTCTACCTCTTGCACTCTTTCTCTCAAACTTTCTCTTCAGTAAGGTTTTTTAAAGAGCGCTATGTCGTTTGTGGTTAAAATATTTCAATTGTATCTCTCTCTTTCTCTCTCTCTTTTTTAAATTCCTTTCAGTAACTCGCTTTTCATTTGCACTCTCTTCAGTTGGCGTCTGTGGCTTAGGCATTATAAATGCGCTTTGTGCCGGGTTCGTTCCCAGCTGTGTGTTTTGTGCCTTGCATTGGTTTCGTCAGTGGTATCCAGAAGCCAGAAAAGAAAGCAATGGCAAACTACTGGATGTAAACTTTTCTAGATAAACCACAACAGCCAAAAAAATGCTGGGGTTGGTTCTGCAACGTCCTGTAAAGAAAACGCAACTAACTTCCCTTCAAAACCTCTGTATTTGACTGTTCTTGTTTCTACGAAATGCACACTACTTTTCTGTATATACATATTTCCAGAGACTCAATTCAATTGTTGTGTTGCCTGTCCATTGTCAAAGTTTCTGCACCACACATCAGAACTGAGTTTAAATAAAATTTAACAATTCTAACTTTTAATTTGTGCGTGTGTGTTTTTTTTAAAAATCTCTGTAGCTATCAATAATGTTGACATCTTATTGAAGATAGTTTTAGTCATTTCTATTCTCATAAAAACAAGAAATTTCTATTGAAAAAGAAAAAAAAATTATAAATAAATAAAATAATAGCAATTCATTTATAGTGTTACCGATTTTAGTCGGTCATGGAGAAGTGGATATCTTTTGCCTTCCGCTCTGAGTGTCGTGAACTCAGTAAATAAATTGTGTAATTTGGTTCAGAAGTTGAATTTTATGGATGTTGCCGAGGGGGTCATTACTGCAGCAATGGAGTTTGTGGTTTGTGTCACAATCTAAGCTTGTGGCTAGCTGTCAGTGGAGAGAGACTGAGCCATATGGGATAAAACCAAGTGTATAAAGCCAATCCTCTCAACTTAAAATTTTTTATGACGATAGTGTCAGTTTGTAATGATCCACATAATGACGATAGTGTCAGTTTGTAATGATCCACATAATGACGATAGTGTAAGTTTGTAATGATCCACATAATGATGATAGTGTAAGTTTGTAATGATCCACATAATGATGATAGTGTAAGTTTGTAATGATCCACATAATGATGATAGTGTAAGTTTGTAATGATCCACATAATGACGATAGTGTAAGTTTGTAATGATCCGCATAATGATGATAGTGTAAGTTTGTAATGATCCACATAATGACGATAGTGTAAGTTTGTAATGATCCACATAATGATGATAGTGTAAGTTTGTAATGATCCACATAATGACGATAGTGTAAGTTTGTAAAGATCCACATAATGATGATAGTGTAAGTTTGTAATGATCCACATAATGACGATAGTGTAAGTTTGTAAAGATCCACATAATGATGATAGTGTAAGTTTGTAATGATCCACATAATAACGATAGTGTAAGTTTGTAATGATGACAGTGTAAGCTCATAATGATAAAAGTGTAAGCTCATAATGATGATAGTAAAAGCGCATAATGATGATAGTATTAGCTCAAAATGTTGATAGTTTAAGCTCAAAATGATGATAGTGTAAGCTCGTAATGATGATAATGTAAGCTCGTAATGATGATAATGTAAGCTAAAAAAGATGATAGTGTAAGCTCATAATGATGATAGTGTAAGCTCATAATGATGATAGTGTAAGCTCATAATGATGATAGTGTAAGCTCATAATGATGATAGTGTAAGCTCATAATGATAAAAGTGTAAGCTCATAATGATGATAGTGTAAGCTCATAATGATGATAGTGTAAGCTCATAATGATAAAAGTGTAAGCTCATAATGATGATAGTAAAAGCGCATAATGATGATAGTATTAGCTCAAAATGTTGATAGTTTAAGCTCAAAATGATGATAGTGTAAGCTCGTAATGATGATAATGTAAGCTCGTAATGATGATAATGTAAGCTAAAAAAGATGATAGTGTAAGCTCATAATGATGATAGAGCAAGCTAAAAAAGTTGATAGTGTAAGCTCATAGTGATTATTGTGTAAACTAACAATGATGACAGTGTAAGCTTGTAATGGGGACAGTGTAAGCTTGTAATGATGAAAGTGTAAGCTCGTAATGATGATGGTGTAAGCTCATAATGATGACAGTGCAAGCGTGTAATGATGAAAGTGTAAGCTCATAATGATGATAGTGTAAGCATGTAATGATGACACTGTAAGCTTGTAATGATGACCGTGTAAGATATAATGATGATAGTGTACACCAGTAGTGATGATGAAGAAGATAACAGTAAACAATTATATATACACAAATTTATAAACAAGAATAAAAACATAATTTATGCAAAACAGTCATTTAATTCATTTATGTAGGAAGGTTAATGTCCACAGGCATATGCATAATTGTATGTTTTCTCTCTCTCCTACACAAATACACTTCTTACTTTCTCATGCATAATTGTATGTTTTCTCACTCTCCTACACGAATACACTTCTTACTTTCTCATGCATAATTGTATGTTTTCTCACTCTCCTACACAAATACACTTCTTACTTTCACATGCATAATTGTATGTTTTCTCTCTCTCCTACACAAATACACTTCTTACTTTCTCATGCATAATTGTATGTTTTCTCACTCTCCTACACAAATACACTTCTTACTTTCTCATGCATAATTGTATGTTTTCTCACTCTCCTACACAAATACACTTCTTACTTTCTCATGCATAATTGTATGTTTTCTCACTCTCCTACACAAATACACTTCTTACTTTCTCATGCATAATTGCATGTTTTCTCTCTCTCCCACATAAGTACACTTCTTACTTTCTCTGTCTCTTTCCCACCCAATCAATCTCTTCTCTCTCACTTCCTTTTATTACACCATCTCTCAGTTACTTTCATCATTCTCCTACCCTCATTCCTTCTATCAGTTTCACCCCTCCCTTTCCTTCTATCATTCTGTCCCTCCCCTTTCCTTCTATCACTCTTTACCTCCCCTTTAATTCTATCACTCTCTCCTCGCACTTTGTCCTATCAATTTCTCCTTCTCATTTTCTTCTACCACTCTCTCACACACAAATATAGTAATAACTATAATCTAACTGTAATCCTTTCTTCAGTTTATAATGAAGACGGAAAATCAAAATGAAAAAAAAAAAAAAAAATCAATAAAGACATACAAACAAAACAATACTAGAACTTGACCTTCATTTCCAAACTTTGCAGGGTATGCAAACAAAATGTCCCGTCTGCCAAGTGCATCTTTCTGCAAATCTTCTAATTCCAGCTTAGACTGGATAAGTGGTACTTGGTGCAGAAGGACGAGTCTGTAGAAAAAAGAAAAGTAAAAAAGACAACAACAAAAAAGTAATCAGAAAGAATTAATAATGGTTGCAAAGATTTAACTCTTTGAGGCCTGAGCAACAATGTGTGTGTTGATTGAGAAGTTCCCATTTTCCCAAACAACACTGTGTGTCCTGTAGATACTGATTTGCACATGGCTCTGTATTCGTTTCTATTGTTCAGAACTACCATTCAAGTATTCAGGAAAGGTTACTCTAACATTTTTCTTTGTGAACAAGTCTATGTTTGCACAAATGAGGCGCAAACTGATCTGATTCACTGCTCATGTGATTTTTCAGACAGTGCATTTTCTCATTTTGTGTTTAAATGGCTGTGGTTACCAATGTTCTAAACACAAGCACATGCCAATAAATGCGCCTTTCTGTGGCTGAAGCTCTGAAATTGTTTCAGTCAGATGTTTTCTAATAATGAAAAACTGAAATTTGTTGGGAAAGTGATTCGGACGGTAAATTTACACCAGCGGCAGCTGAGCAGTCAGCTGTTTGCTCTGATGAGGTAAATCCAAGAGGACCCATTTCATTTGTGAAGGATGTGATATTTGCATCAATACGACTGTTTCAGACAGTACCATACTCATACTGTGGCTTTTTTTTTTTTTTTGGTCAAAATCTGCTTGTGCCGCTAGGCGTCGCAGTCTATCAGATGATCGGCAACCGAGCCAGGGCGCGCTCAGTCGCTTCATATGCCGTGATGTTATGAAGTCTCAAGTTGTCCGTGACTCCTTCAATCCATCTTCTTCTTGGTCTTCCCCTGCCTCTTGGTGTTTCGATTTTCATGTTGTATGCTCTTGATGCTGGCATCGTTGGTTCCATTCTCATTAGGTGACCAAACCATTTCATTCTTTGCTTCTCAAAAAAATTTAACGATGGGTATGGTTCCAATAGTTCTTGTAATCACATCGTTTCTCACTTCTGGTTTTATTCGCAGCCATTCTCAAACATCTCATTTCACAGGTGGTTAGTCTTCTCTCGTGTTCTTTTGTTAATGTCCAAGTCTGACATTGATAACCTAATGTCGGTATATACTGTGGCTTAACTGCATTGAAATCATTGTGGCTACAGTCTGTATGTAACTACAAAGTTAATATTTTGTGTGTATATGACTAAAGGTCCACCTTTCTTCTATTTTTTTTCTTTGAAATTTTGTTTAACACACCATGAGAACCTACAGCCACTAAGTAATAAACTAACCCAGAAACGTCTCATAACTTTTGAATTTTTTCGATAACACTTTAAAGTGGACATTGATTTATGTTTGAGGCCTGTCCATTTTGGCAAATTCTTCACCCACGTCTTTCTTGGTCTGCCTCTTCTCCTCCTCTACTCTACAGAGCCCTCGAGTTGCATTTAGGCGAGGCCGGTAGATTTTGTTACATATCCGTACTATTGCATGAATTAAACTGAGCATTATACCATCAACAACAAAATGCCCACAAAACACAAGGTGGAAAATCTAGAGCAAAAGAAACAAAAACTTTTTTTCAGCTAGAGACGAGTTCTGCCTTCTTTTTGCTTTCAAATATAAAAGTGAAACCAGTTATAGCCATCAAAAATTGGTAAAGTTAGTCCCAGACCTGACCCTGTTAAGCTTTTATATTTTTTATGCTGGAGATGCTGGAGAGATAATATTCAAGCAGATTTACAAACACTTGCAGTCTCCAAGTGAATCACAAAGACAAATACAGGTGGGTGATAGCTGCAGCAATGAACCTCAAGAGCCCTTCAGGCATATTGGGTTTATAGGACTAGACTTATACTAGACACTCGGTGAGTGATGTGGTCAACAACACATCCACCACCTTGACTTCCTAGGACTTTACCTGGTACCCTTTTAACTCTTTGAGTCCCAAGGAACGCATCATACGTTCATAGGTTCCTACCTAGAAGCCCAATGAATGCATGATGCACCGATTTTATGACTTTCTTTACTACCCCCTGGGCCTATGCTGCTAAACCCATTAGGACTCAAAGAGGTAAGGTTAGGTAGAACTGGGAGCCAAGGTAATATTTGAAAAAAAAAAAAAAAACATTTGGCTACGCCAGGTCCAAAACTTAAGACCTTCAGATCAGCAAGCAAGTGCCTACCTGCTGCACCACGGCAGCTCCCGATACCTAGGTAGGGAAATAAATAGAACATTGCTTACATTCTTGTTTGTTAGGCTGAGCTCTTGAATCAACCCAACCTAACATGGATATTAGAAGAATTCCTGGGAAGTAAAAGTGGTTGATGTGATACTGGCCACATAACCTATTGAGCTCTGACTGGGGCTCTGACTGTTGAATTTATGACAAAGGCATGTTCAGAGTGACAATTGTACAGTCTATTGTTTGTGTCTTCTTTCAAATAATGTGACTGTTGCCATTAGGTGTTTCTCAACTTGTCAGCTTACTGTCCAGTTCTCACAAGTGTACATCATATATATGCTCTACGTCAGACCCCTACTCCAATCCCTTTAATGCTGAGTTTGGTTCTGTAATGTCAGGTAAAGAATATACAACTATATTTTTCATGAAACTTAACTCTCGTTCTCACCACAACTAACAGCCTTTCATTCATCAATCAATAAACAAATGAAGTTACATACTGTAAGGCATTCGCCATGATGGAGTCAACATCATGTAGCATCTCCAAGGTCGAACTCAAAAGTTCGGCTCCATTTCTGAAATGAAGGACATAGATGAACATCTGTGTTTCCCCACAATAAACACTGCATTTAATCAATGTTGCAGAACCTTAAATTGATGCATTTAATAAATGTTGCAGAACCTTAAATTGATGCATTTAATAAATGTTGCAGAACCTTAAATTGATGCATTTAATAAATGTTGCAGAACCTTAAATTGATGCATTTAATAAATGTTGTAGAACCTTAAATTGATGCATTTAATAAATGTTGCAGAACCTTAAATTGATGCATTTAATAAATGTTGCAGAACCTTAAATTGATGCATTTAATAAATGTTGCAGAACCTTAAATTGATGCATTTAATAAATGTTGCAGAACCTTGAATTGATGCATTTAATAAATGTTGCAGAACCTTAAATTGATGCATTTAATAAATGTTGCAGAACGTTGCATTTATCTTCTCTTAGATTTTACACAAGCAATAATAACATATCAGTTTCTAAAGGTATTTTTTATTTTTATTTTTAGAGATGAATAAACAACATTATCGCCATCATGTAGTGGGTCCTTTGCAGAACGCCGCTCTCATCATGGTCTGCCTGAAAGAAACTCTGTCTCTCGCCAGTTCTCCCACCTCGTGTACTTTCATACGCAAGGAGTCACTTATGTCCTGTGTCCATCTTCGTGTCGGTCGGCCCCTGCCCCTCCTTCCTGGTACCACGCCTTCTACTATTAATTTTCTAGTCCATTGTGGCGCTTGATATGACCAAAATATTTCAGCTTCCGAGACGGTATACTATTTATTAGCCAATCTTCCGTGATGTTCAGATCTTTCAAGACGTCAGTATTTCTCCTCTTCTTTGTCCAAGATATTATGAGAATCTTTCTATAGCATTGCAGCTCAAAAGAGAAACAACACAATATATTAAAATAACAAAAAAAATTTAAAAAAATAAAAGAGTGCTAGACTTACTGGAAGGTGTAAACTTTGTTGTCTGCCCCTTCGTTCTTGCAAAAATCATGATCAGACGAGATGGACGTGCAGTTGTACTGTAGGTAGTTTTGCAATCAAGTGATATTATAATACAACAACATGACATATTGGAAGAAAGATTACAGATGGTTGGCTGAAATGGAAGAACCATGATATTCATGCCTCCCTGGGTGGGTTCCAGGACCCCACACTGGGGGGGGGGGGGGAATGGGGGGGGGGGAGAGAACAGGCCCACTGCCTCCCTAACAAGCATGTCATACAAGGCAACTAATTAGGGTAGTTTTCTTCAAAGTCTGAGTGCAGCTGCCTTATAGGCAAGGAACCAACTGTCATACAAATAAGACTAAATAAGAACAAGACCAAAGTCCAGAAAAGGACAAACAGCTAAAATTTTCTGCTGGAGTTTACAGCCGATGAACGTTAAGGGGAAGAAGATTTCCATGACCTTTACATAAACTATATGTTAGTTAGATTAGATAAACTATAGTTAGATTAGATAAACTATATGTTAATTAGATTAGATAAACTACATGTTAGTTACATTAGATAAACTGTATGTTAGTTAGATTAGATAAACTATATGTTAGTTAGATTAGATAAACTATACGTTAGCTATATTAGATAAACTATATGTTAGTTATATTAGATAAACTATATGTTAGTTATATCAGATAAACTATATGTTAGTAGATTAGATAACTATACGTTAGCTATATTAGATAAACTATACGTTAGTTATATTAGATAAACTATATGTTAATTATGTTAGATAAGCTATATGTTATGTGGCTCGATATGGACCTAACCCTGGACTTCAGACCATCTTGTCTGACAACAGAATGTCACTTTCATTAGCTCTAACATTATTTTTAAAAATTATCGTCACTGAGTTGAGTTGAATAGAGTTGATTCAAGAACCGACATCCCAGCACTTAGGGCATTCCCTTAACTTTTTGAGGCCCATGAAAAGCTGTGTGTGCTGATTGAGAAGTTTTGATCCCCCCCCCCCCCCCCCCCCCCCCAAAAAATGTCTTCGTTCAGCGTGTGTCCCTTCAAATTGTTTTGCAAATGGCTCCATATTAATTTCTAATGTTCGGAACTACCATTAAATTATTCAGGAAAGGTTACTCTAAAATTTTTTTTGTAAAAAAAAGTCTATATTCATGCACAAGATGGGCAAATTAATCTCTCTACCATTTTCGTAAAGGAAAATTAATGTGAGCCAAGTCTGTCAAAAATTCACGGGCTGAAATAGTTAAGTGCTCCGTCCCCATCTTCAGTAGCCAATGCAAAGTTCCAATACCAACGGTGCCAGTAGAAGTCTGATTAAATGTCGATCTTGCCTTTCCTCTGAGCATTGAGTATCAGCCAGATCCCTTTGTCACTTCTCGCTGCATTGCTCTCACCAGACTGTGATGATCAATTTTCTGTAACAAATTATACACAAGCTCGCCTTAACCCCATCTGCTTTATCATGCAATCGTACTCCACCATAGTGTGCAGAACTAGCCAATATATCGTAACTACAAGGGAGCGGCGTCCGTGGCTAAGGCGTTGCGAGTCTGACTCGTAATCCAACGTACCGCGATCGAAACCTGCGTGGGCTGCATGGATTTTTATCGTGGTATGGGACGTCGCAGGTCGACCCAGCCTCAAATGGGTACCAGGATGGGCTGTCCTAGGAAAGTAAAGACGGCCGGCTTAATGCTGACCACATTACCAACCAAGTGCCGACTGGTCTGTAAAAATATGGGTGCTCTTCCCATATGCCCGATGCGCCTAAGGGCGTGTAAAGGGATCTTTACTTTTTTTTTTACAAGGTGAGGCTCCACAATTATTAAGACCAAACGAATCACTGTGTATTTTGAATAGCTACAAGAATTAACATGACACAGAATCTTCCAATTATTGCACTAACCAAAGGTTATAAATATCATCTGTGTCTTTGGTAGTGGTTCTCAACCTTCTTAACGCCGCAATCCTTTAATACAGTTCTTCATGTTGTGGTGACCCCCCAGCCATAGAATTATTTCTGTTGCTATTTCATTTATAACTTCAGTGAACATGTGTTTTCTGATGGTCTTAGGTGACCCTTGTGAAAGGGGCATTCGACCCCAAAAGGGTCACGACCCACAGGTTGAGAACCACTGGTCTATGTGGTTACAAACATGCAATTCTGAAAATACCCAATTTGATTAAGCTGCAGATTTGGCATTAGACTGCTTTGTATTGATTATGACAACAGATTGGAATGCCAATAATTTAGAGAGCAATGGCAAACTACTGAATCTCAAAACTGCTTAACTCTTTAGAGTCCCAGGGGGTTTAGCATCCCAGGCCCAAGGGGTAGTCAAGAGAGATGTAAAATCGGCGCATCTTGCGTTCAGTGGGACTCTAGGTAGAAATCTATGAACGTATGATGCGTTCCTTGGGACTCAAAGAGTTAAAAGCCACAGTCAATATATGCTGAGACTGGTTTACAACGTCCAGCAAATGATAAGCAACCAACTTTCTAAACACTCCAAAGGCTGCATGTGTCCAACTACAGACATACATACCACAGCCAGTGTTACATTGTACATCTTCAGATACTTTGCAGCTTTGTCGTACTGCTGCAAGAATGTTGTAACCCTTGGTGAATCTGAAAACAAAAACGGTACTTTTTCTAGGAATTAATGAAAGAATCAATTGAGAACTGGCACTTGCGATATTGCCACGCATGCTTCCTTGCCAATAACAACAATATGATTAAAAAGTCTTTCTTTTTCTCTGAGTGTAATCACGCTCAGCTCACTTTTTTGCTAAACCCTGTTTTACAAAATATGGATAATCTGTTCTGCTACACATCCATCCACTTGATCCTAGACAGCCTTCCTTTTCACTTTACCATAAAGTAGGTCACCATCCACAGCAACTGCAGGCAATCTATCAGACTGCTCATTTCTCCCTACACACCCACATATCCTAAGCAGAGAAGCTGCAATATGTTCCCGATCTCAATTTATCAAGCATTAACAATAAAACTCACAGCATATGTTATCTGAAATTTACTTTCACAAACAAAACAAAACACTGTGCACATTCTTCGTCTTCTTAGCGCTCACTAGCAGCCAACTCTCGGTGGAAAAGTTCCGGCTGTTCAGTCACTTCTCAAATTTGGACTTGTTCCAGAACTGGATTTTTATATTGACAGCCATTTTAAAAATCTGGTTTATTTGTATGCAGACTGTTGGTTCCTTGTCTCTCAAAAAGCGGCAGATGCATCCCAAAACAAATAAAACACCTGTACTTAGTCCTCTTTTACGTCATGCCTGTTAGGGCTGGCAGGGGGGACTATTATGTTTTTATCCAGAAAAATGAGGGTCCACCCAGAACCTCTATGGCATTAACAGGCATTGGTACTCCGGAAAACGAGTGCTTAGAAGGGCCGAATGTCAGACGGGCCTGCGTGCCCAATTTGTAACCCTTTGAAAATAAAGTTTGTTCGTTCGTTCTATGGTGTACAAATAATATCATTTAAATGATACTTGGCTGGTATCCACCAGGGGGCACTGTTGATATATAATAATGCTTCTTGCTCTAAAGGGGAAGAGAAAGCACACATTACTGTTGGTAATGTTGAAATGAAGGCATCGTGTGATAGTGGAATTATGTGAGCACAAAATGCTATTTTTGTTGTTTAGTAACATTTATTATTTTTTAAAAAAAAAGCAGGAGAAGATACAAGAGCAAAGAAATTTATTCCATGAAAAAGTGTTCAAAATTAGACTCTTGCTAGTTTTCAATAGTGCCAACAAAAACAATACATTACACCAGTGATGCCCAAAATGTTGGCCGTGGCACCCTGGGGAGCCGTGTCCTATTCACAGGGGCGCCGGAAAATATTAATAGATAAACGTGTTTTATTTTTAAAAAATCTTTTACATACAAATAGTCACTCTTTTACTTAGGTTAGGGCACCGTGGAAAATGTGTTATTGAAAAAAAGAAATGCGACTAAGAAAGGTTTGGGAAACCCTGTATTTCACAAATGGTTCGTCAGGAATTTGTTCCTGCATCTCATCAGGTATGTCCCTACATAAAAATGAATCTTCTCCACTGAAATATACAAGTCACATGGTCTTCTCTAGTTACACTGTACATCTTATGACCGGAAGTTCAAGTTAGTTCCATGGTTACCATGGAAGTTTGAGATTTACCACATGCTACTTTGTGTTTGCCACATGCATATGCATAATGGAAAGTCATGTTGAAGTAGATCATTGTTGGGCAGGCTGCCTTTAACTCTTTGAGTCCTAAGGAACGCATCATACGTTCATAGGTTCCCGCCTAGAGTCCCAAGAAAAACACATCATACGTTCATAGGTTCCCACCTAGAGTCCTAAGGAATGCATCATACATTCATAGGTTCCCGCCTAGAGTCCCAAGGAACACAACATACATTCATAGGTTCCCACCTAGAGTCCCTAGGAACACATCATATGTTCATAGGTTCCCACCTAGAGTCCCAAGGAACACACCATACGTTCATAGGTTTCCTCCTAGAGTCCCAAGGAACACACCATATGTTCATAGGTTCCCGCCTTGAGTCCCAAGGAACACACCATACATTCATAGGTTTCCTCCTAGTCCCAAGGAACACACCATACGTTCATAGGTTCTCTCCTAGAGTCCCAAGGAATGCATCATATGTTCATAGGTTCCCTCCTAGAGTCCCAAGGAACACATCATACGTTCATAGGTTCCCTCCTAGAGTCCCAAGGAACGCATCATACGTTCATAGGTTCCCTCCTAAAGTCCCAAGGAATGCATCATACGTTCATAGGTTCCCTCCTAGAGTCCCAAGGAACGCATCATACGTTCATAGGTTCCCACCTAGAGGCCCAATGAACGCATCATACGTTCATAGGTTCCCTCCTAGAGTCCCAAGGAATGCATCATACGTTCATAGGTTCCCTCCTAGAGTCCAAAGGAATGCATCATACGTTTATAGGTCCCCTCCTAGAGTCCCAAGGAATGCATCATACGTTCATAGGTTCCCAACTAAAGTCCCAAGGAACGCATCATACGTTCATAGGTTCCCACCTAAAAGCCCAATGAACGCAAGATGCGCCGATTTTAATCTCTTTTGACCAGCCCTTGGGCCTCTGATGCTAAGCACCCTGGGACTCAAAGAGTTAACATTGTAAGTTAATCTGACAAATGAATTTTTTTAAAAGAGTATATTTTGGGGTGCAGTCAAATCTGGTTAGAAAAGGACTTTTGCGCTTACAGTGTCACAGAAATACAATGTATTCTTGGTTCTTTCAAAGAAGGCTTCTCCTTCTTTTTAGAATTCCCCTGATGTAAATTTAGCTGGAATATTCTGGTTGTTTGCCCAATTCCCAGACTTTATCTTGTTCCAGAACTTGAGATTCACAGATCTGGCTTATCTGTATGCAGACTGTTGGTTTCTCACCTCTGGGGCAGATACACACTGACTTCAAGACGAAAACCCCTAATAAGTTAACTTAAAACAGATGCTTCTTAGAGGGGTTGTGGGTCTATTAAACCCCCCCCCCCTCCCCCTCACCCAACACACTACAAAAATGGGGCCCAAAATTCTGCATAAAGTGATCACACCAAACAGATAACTAAATTCTCAGGAGATTCTGTCACACTAGCATGCCAAGAAGGCTCATGCTCATCTTCAATGTCTGTTCATTTAAAGCCGTGTAAGAGCATGCTCACCATCTCCGCTAAAGTAGACAAAAGAAACAGACGGCGACTGGATCAGGTCCTGCAGATTTTCAGCAGTGACAACTGTTGCATGACGCAGTGACACAGTTGCTGTTTCACTTGATGTTGATGCCTCTGATTGGGCTGACAGTGAAATCTCTGATGCCAGCAAAATTGGTAATAGATGAAGTATGATCATAATGAACTGTGTTCAAAACTGTGCCTGCAAAATATAAATAATAACAAAGCATTAGCAGATAAAAGAAACATTTTGTGTCAGAAGTAGACTGGTGAAGATTTACTTTTTTTTTTTTTCAGTCAATCTTGACAAGGATTTTGGTTATATTGCATCTCTAAAGACATTCCAGTCCAGTGCAGCAATTTGTTAGGGGCCATCTTTCCTCATTCATGTTTCATCAGTTCACAATTTAGTACATACTAATTGATCGCTGGCGAGCAGCAAAATTCATGTCAATGGTCCTTCACTCTTTTCTGAAGCCAGACTGGCTCTCAGGCAGGAGTTCTAGATCAAGATGCCCTGTAAGACGGTTGAGGGGAATTCTAGCCAGGATTTTACCAGCAATAGATAGAAGAGAGATTCCATATGCCTAGTGGTTTGCTTTACGTTTATACAACAGTCATGGTATGAAGAAGATCAAAGGGGCAAACTATGACTAGAATGGGTTGACAGTCTCCAGAAGTCCCACTTCAAGAAAATATCTTGGCTGTACGCACTGGGACATGCTGAGATAAAAGGAAATGAAAGTACTGAGAGACAGGCCATGTCTGCTGTTGTTAGTGGAGGATGAAGTGCTGACAGGGCGGACATTTTAAATGTGCTGGGTTCTAGAGATTAAGAGATGAAGGAGTCAGAATCAAAGAACTGTCCGATGGAATCGAGTATTAAATAATGACAAGCAAGCAGAAACAGGTTGCATGACAAAGAAAGAATTAGGACAGTCAACTCCTACAGTGAATGTTGAGCATGGAGACACTGAGATGTCTGCTGCTTTGGGAGATGGACAACAAGTAACAATCATGTCGACATCAACAATATGGTCAGTTTTATTACAGACTGTCGTCCTTCACTGATGTTGTTGTTATAGTTGCAATTTTCAGCTGACCCACATGAATCTGACGCAGCATTTTATTAGAGTCTGGAGTCTAAGATGTAACTTGTTGAAATTATTGATCTAGTAGTATCTGGGCTTCCGCCTACTGACATGTAGTGTCACGCAGATACATCGCATGTGCTTATCAGCTCTCATCTTATTCATGATAAAGTGTTCCTATGATTTGGCTTTGTGAGAGTAAATTTTCTTAAATCTCTATGACAGGGATCACCAATTAGTTTTTATCTGACAGTCTTGCCAGCAGGCACTGAAAGTCAGCTGTGTTTGGAGTCTGTTATGTTACAGGTGTTGTGTTTGGAGTCTGTTATGTTACAGGTGTTGTGTTTGGAGTCTGTTATGTTACAGGTGTTGTGTTTGGAGTCTGTTATGTTACAGGTGTTGTGTTTGGAGTCTGTTATGTTACAGGTGTTGTGTTTGGAGTCTGTTATGTTACAGGTGTTGTGTTTGGAGTCTGTTATGTTACAGGTGTTGTGTTTGGAGTCTGTTATGTTACAGGTGTTGTGTTTGGAGTCTGTTATGTTACAGGTGTTGCATTTGGAGTTTGAAAGTCATGTAGAGATTGATCCTTGGCAGCTAGGTTGTGCTGTTTCTGTGGTCAGGTCTGGGCATATTACTGCACACTTTCCTTCCGGTGTTTAAATTATATGATTACTGAATTATTACTAAAGAAGGAAATATGAAGATTAAGTGTACATGTGTATGTGCATCAATAAAATTGGAATAAAGGAAATCATAATAGTGACATAATGCTAGTTAGCTAACAGATTATCCTCACTGCACATTGAGCATTCTGTCGATAACTGCTCAGGAATGCTAACAGTAATAAACTCAAAGGAGTTCTGCTTCCACAAGGCTTAAGTGTACAACCCTTGAAGGAGACAAATTTGTCGCTGGGGTGATTCAGTATGCCCTGTCTAAGCATAAGATATACAAACATACAAAACATGTTGACTTGCACGCAGGAGTAAGATTCAGCCGCATATTGTAGATTATTTGGTATTTTAAAAATATTAATGAGAATGTTACTGGCCCCATTAGTATTGGAACTCTGCGTTGGCTGCTGAAGATAGGGACGGAGAGCTTATGGGAATGCCCCGAGTGCTGTGATGTCGGTTCTTGAATCACTAAAAAAAAACATACTACATGACTGGCACAGTTCTACAGTAATTTACTACCTACAGTTTTCTATGATGTCCCCACTTGTTCTGGGCTTTAGATTACTGGGTAACTGCCGTGGGCCCAGTTAAAAAATTGTATATAACTGAGCCGGATCATTAAGGTGATAATTCTGAGGGCTGCAATGGTTAAATAAAGAAACTACCTCTCTGCCACTAGCAAGACCTTGCATTTTATATATGTGCATTTTAATAACAATTTTTTTTTTAATTTTTTAAATTTTATTTTTTTAACATAAAAGACACTTTTTTAAAAATAAAATAAGTTTTTAATACTTATCTTAAATTCAATAACCAATGCTCTAAAAAGATAAAAAGTAATTTATCATATGGTATATTGGACACTACTTTCGCAACAACATTTGTATTGTATGTAGGGCTGTACCGAATAGTGATTTTCACTATTAGGCCGAATTAGAATAACGGGACCAACTATTCGGCCGAATATGAATACGAATAGTGTCTAGTGCATAAAATATATCTATTTTTAAAAAAAACACACTTGTTCAAAATGTCAAATGTACGCTGAACTTTTACTTCACATAAAGTAGCACAGAATAGTCATCTTCTTTAGCATTCTGAGCCCTTGAGGTTTCCTGTTGCAGATATCACTCGTCTCAATTCATCTCTCTGGCTGGCCTTCTCTTCACAATTTGTGACATCAGTTGTTTGTAGGTCTGGCTGGACATTATCTCTCGATCTTCTTTTTTGTCTGTCTTGTGGTCTACGCCCATTCCTCTCTCAGGTGTATACAGTTTTGCTTCTCACTCTCCATTCCCAGCTGTTAGCATCTTTGATGGGTCCATAGATTTGTTGTAAAACTGTTTTCAAAAACCTGTAATAAGGCTTCATCTTTTTTTCTGCTTCAAGTTTTAGAGCCATATAAAACGACTGGTCTTATCCACGTTTTATGTATTCTGATCTTGGTGTTGCGAGACAGACACTTAGACTTTAGAAGATGTTGAAGGGCATAGTATACTTTATTTCCAGATTGTATTCTAGATTGTATTTCTTCTCTCAGCATGTTGGAGCAGTTGAAGTTTGCACCCAAGTACTTATATGTTTCCGTTCATTTGATTTTCGTATTATCGACTTGGATGTGGCCGGAGTTTAATTCTTCCCATGTCTAGTTAGTATTCGTACAAAATAGTAAACATTTAAAAACATTTTATGTTTTGCATCCTTCAGTCAATCTGTGGTAACTAATAACTAGGAATGAAAGAATCCTAAGTATTATAACAAGTAACTAAACTTGGAAATTGTTACTGACAGCTTAGTTAATGCATGAAAGCTGCATTAGCTTTTAACAAAACCAATCGTTCCATGTTGTCAGTATTAAGGCTGTGTATGCAGAAGCAGGTGTAAGGTAACTACAGTTCGTGTTTGGCCCGACCGCAACTATTTGGCCAAATACTGAATAGTCATTAGGTCCACTATTCGGCCCCGAAGCAAATATAGTACAGCCCCTAATTGTATGTATACTTTATCATATAGTTTAATGCACAGGGGAGTTTAACCAATTATCTTTAACAAAATGCATATACATTTTTATAGCACAAGTAATAAAAGTGTGAAGCAACCACATATATCTATACGTAATGATTACATCACACGTATAATGATAGTGACCTATTCTTGTGGACAATTTGAGTCGAATATTATATTGTTATCAATATTATATATTGTTCTGTGTTTGCAAAATGTCAGTCTGATTGCTTATTGTAAAAAAGAATAAAAAATGGAATGCAAAAATTGTAGCAGACAAACAAACAAAAGCAAACCTACAAAGAATTAAATTCAATCTCACTGATTACATTTGCTTTAACCCACACATTTACTTATTCAATATTTCTATGCACAGAAATCAATGCCAATAAAAATACCCAAGTGAATCTACTCACTATATTTTAATTGCTCAATTAATATTTTATTAATTTGTGTACATTATTTAAATAATCCCTGGTTGCTGAAGATGGAGGAGTGCTTACGAGAACATTTCCAGTGCTGTCATGATGGTACTTGATTCAAATACACTGTAATCATATTTCTGCTAATGAATCTATGACTAATTACTACTACTAACTGTGTATATTCAAAAATAAATATTGTTTCTCACCTAGATAAATAGAAACTGCCAAATTCTGAAGAAAAAAATTAAGCAAGCCTGGCAAGTTAGAGAAGCAACTGACAGACTGCCAGAAATTGTGGGACAACTGGCAAGACAAATTTACTCTAGTGAGGGCAGTGGGAATACAAGCTTGGATCTGATTGGTTCTTGGCCAGGTTCATTAATAATTCATTTCACATCCTTATTGGATCTTGATAGAATTTCTGCTTAAAGTACAGAATTGAGAGAAAGTGAATAAAATAGGGGTGTGAGTGAGAGACAAGGAGATTGTGAAAAGAGTGGGGTGGGGGGGGGGGGGGGACATGATAGAAGGGAGTGAGCGTGACAGAATGGATTAAGAGTGACAGAAGAAAGTGGCCAGAACCAACCGCAGCATTTTTTGGCTGTTGTGGTTTTTCTAGGCAAATTTTACATTAAATAGTTTGCCATTGCTTTCTAAACGGTCAGCTCTCAGTACCACCATCAAAATCAACACAAGACTAACAGTCCGCAGCTGGGATCGAACCCGGCACCCCGGCATTACAAAGCGTGTTTACAATGCCTAAGCCACAGACACTGACCATGACTGAATATACACACACACACACACACACATATATATATATATATATATACACAAAGAGGGGAAAATGATGGGAGTCCATAGGGAGAGAGACATTAGTCTGGATGATATTACCAGGGGACAGGAGAAAGAAGGGAGAGGTTAGATAGGGAGTAAGTCAGAGACAAAGAGAGACACAATTTTCAAGTTTAATTTCCCTCG